GTGGATATTACAGGTTTTACGAACGCGATCAACTTAAATTCTCTGTTTATATATAATTTATAGCTTTTACGGTGTCAATATAGTAGAAATTTAACGTTTGAGCTGGTCTCAGGTGACGTCATGCGCAGACACGACGAAATTGGGCCGGCTGACCAGCACACCGTATTATTTTCACACCACGGAGGATGAAATAAACCAATATAGAAGTAAGTAAATTATTCGTGGTTCTTAAAGTAGTGACTATACCATTGGGACCCTTTTTGCAAGCATATAACGTATGTCTGTGCGATTTTAATTGTTTCTAGATTTGTTCTTTTTCCCTGCTATTAAAAATAAACAGCTATTTACATTTTTTTGTTTTCGCAGCAATTGAAGAGTATTGTACAAAAAAAAATCATTTACAAAGCAATAAAACTGAAAGTTGGTGAATCAGTGATTTTAAATTAATATAAAGATGTCGCCCGTTTTGTTTGCTGTACGCTAGCATAATTCACTCTACTGACTAATTATAAGATGGAACTGCTTAAGTCCATTGGAATGATAGAATTTATTGTATACCTACTTGCCATTATGCCAGAAAAATAATTTAAATGCGCAAATTCTCACAAGCTACCACATGCGACGCGGTAATTGGAAGTGAAACATTTTGTACTTATTTTCTTGCACAAAATATGAAATATAAAAAAATCAGGAAATACAAGTTGTTATTTCACGTAAATATGTCGAATAAAATTATTTAAAAATAAAATAGGAAACCACCCAAATACAAATGAAAAAGTCGATTGCAACCCTACCCAGGGATCTAGGATTTCTATGAGAATGCGGAGATTTTGCCAATAAACGCGTCGACGTAGGAATATCTGTAGGAAGGAAGGAGAACGTCTGCGTCCGGTTAAAACCGATTTAATTGCAATCGCATAACAATAAAAGCGCCGGAGGTCGCGTGGCGTGCGTCGCGTGCCCCCAATCACCTATTAAAATAAACAATCGACTCTCCAACGCCCCCCGTTCGATTGTGCGGACGTCACGGCCACTCGCCGGGCGCCGCGCGTTACCCAAAAATCTCGAATATGTGCGCCGGAGTGACGTTTATTGTGTCGGCCGCCGCCGGAAGGATTAGCGAAATTAATACGCGGAGAAATTGCAGTTTACATCAACAAAATTATGGTACGAAAAAAATACCGCACAGACATCGTTTTATTTTTTGGAATAGATTTTAGACGTTTTTTCAATAGTCGAGGTAGGCGGGTGAATGACGATTATCTGAATCTTTCTCCCCTTCATCTTTCAAAATAATTATCTCTTGATCATCAAGATCCATGTTAGCTGTACTACTTTGTACAGACTTTGCCGTTTATTTTTTGAGTGGTCTCTCGATCCCGCCTGATCATGCACTGGACACTTAAATCAATGATCTGTCTAAATTTTAAGGTTATATGAAACAGCTGATCCATTTACCCACAGACTACTTAAGACGCATAAAAAAGTCCTTCTAAAAGTCATTAGTCATAATAGGCTAGTTAACACCATTAAAATCGTGAAAAATACTGATAATTCGTGTTGATGATTGGGGGCTCATCCGATTCGGGATGACGTCTAGAAAAATATGCATAAAAATCGTATTCGTACATAAACAACTGCAAAAATTATAAACAAATAAAGATTAAAAAAGAGAGGTTTGTTTTTTGCAAATAACTCGAAAAATATAAGCCTTAGTGTCATTTTGAAAAAAGATCCTAATGGAAGAGGACTTAGACTATTCTATTGCACAATGACTTGGATTACTACCATAGACCTTAAAAACTACTGGACTCGCCCAACTGTCATTTTGCCAACATAAATGGCAATCGCTCAGACGTATGCGAGAGAGATGGAGCTAGTAAGGGCTTAAGCTTCGTTCACAGAATTTTGACTGCAGCGCGCTACATTTAATTCAATCAATCAGCTAGCTGTACTCGATTCGTTACCCCTTTTTTCTGTTGTAATATAGAGACCAAAAGACAAAAGAAATTCATTTTTTCCAGTAGTGTAGGTATGTAAAAGGGTTTACCTACGACCACTACTGTAAATACTTAAAAACACACCGTCTGCGATCAATGTAAGATTCCTATTACGTACGGTAAAAAAATTGCACAGTTTTCCTAGCAACTNCTATGGTTGTCATTTGAAAATGTTTCACCTTCATCTTGTAATAAATTCCATGGTTCTATACTTGATTTCTATGAGATTAATTTCGGATGCATGTGAATTATAATATTATCATTCGTACGAATTAAAATATTTTCGGATATCGTACATCGGATTTCGGATGCATGGGACACTGGCCTTAGTGTCATTTTGAAAAAAGATCCTAATGGAAGAGGACTTAGACTATTGCACATTGACTTGGATTACTACCATAGACCTTATAAACTACTGGACTCGCCCAACTGTCATTTTGCCTACATAAATGGCAATCGCTCAGACGTGTGCGAGAAAGATGGAGCTAGTAAGGGCTTAAGCTTCGTTCACAGAATTTTGACTGCAGCGCGCTACATTTAATTCAACCAATCAGCTAGCTGTACTCGATTCGTTACCCCTTTTTTCTGTTGGGCCGTATTCAAAGACTTTATAAAAATAATATAGAGACCAAAAGACAAAAGAAATTCATTTTTTCCAGTAGTGTAGGTATGTAAAAGGGTTTATTATATTACTAGCCTAATTACAGTACAATATTTGAATTGTTTTAGCTATATAATATTCCAAATAGATTTTATAGTGCCTTATACATAAATAATAATTTCCTCGTATCGTAAACTCGATCGGTTAAAATTCCTGCAAGCTCTTCTGACGTAGTTGTTTCAAATATTTCATATTTTCTTGCTTTGCAGAACATATTATTTAAAGAGAATTTTTGTTAAGCACATTTCAGTTAAAACTTTTTCGTTATATTCAGTTTGATGTTAAAAAATAATTTGAAGAGTATCACATATAAAGCGGCAAAATAAGTTATCATCGGAGACAACTCTACTTGGACATTATTTTCAGAAAGATGCGAAAAATCATAACTTCTTTCCTACCTATGAAATTTAATTTTTTCTCCACTTAAACGTCTCTACGCAATTTATCGCAGAACACGATTGCACTGTATTTAGTTTTTACGAATCTTTCACTAACTAAATCACACAAAATTCAAGAAATCAATCAATAATGTCAATACATGACATTTACTTCAAAGTTTGTTTACGGCATTTTGTAACGGTATACCCGTGTACCATCATTTGTTTTACCGGTATTTGCCTCAACTAGCTTCATCTGCCTTGCACACATCAGCGCGATTGACCTCTCTTTCTAGGGCCAGTTTACTAAGTCTATGATTACTACAGATGTCACTGTCACAGAAATTGTTGGTAAAAGCTCATACCGTATTACCCACAACTTGCAACTAGCGCCCTCGCTAACGGTACAATGAACTACCCGCGTGATTCCCCGTTTACAAACACTTAGACATTCCCCACTGCATTTACCCTACTATTGTCAGGTAGAAAAGATCCAGTACATATGATTTCTCTTTCCCAACGATTATTGCAAGGCAATTATTTGTGCCGTAGTATCTGATTATGCTTTAATATTTATATTTGACCTTGACTTTTGGCTCATAATAATAAAAACAAGTACTTGAGAAATATGTATTTATATGATTGTATTCTTCTCTGATGTGTTGTAATTGTTTGTTTGGAGTAGGTATTTAAAGAGGACAACAATAGAAGAACGTTTCAAGAGCAATTTCCAGACAATGGGAAAGCAGTTAGTACCCTAAGATTAGTAGGTCGCTCTCTGCCAGTAGCAATGCTTTGGTCAGTGACTTTTAACACATAATATACTTTGTAGGTTATATCTCACTCACACTCAAAATGTCCTTACAGTCCCTGGAAAAAGATGCAGTTCTAATGTGCAAACTTCCAGTTTTTACTGCATACGGCATTGCAATTCGAAATATTTAGTAACCCATTTTTCCATAAAATTATGCAAAATCAGAAAATGATAAAATACCCGTTATTTGCGCAAATCTTAAAAAAAATCTATCAAAAAATGGAAACAACCTTATTGTGCGCAAAAACAATCAAAATAGTTCAAAGTTCTTTAAAATTCAGTAAATTTCATGTATTTAAAAAACCTCAAATTTTTTATTTAAAAACATGTAGGATCATTCACGCCTGCATTTGACGTTTATACAGGGTGTTTTATAATGATTGCGAAAACGATTAAACTTAGAAATTTTAATTTTGGTACACGTTAACAATTAGTTGAATAATATTTTACTTTATATTTAGTCTTTTTTTCTGGTTATATCTGAATTAAAGAAATTAGCACCCCTTGGTTTTATTTACCTCAAAATATTTTTCTTCATTAGCTAATTCCAAGAAAAATATCTTAATACTACAATTTCATTGAGAAACTTTTTCTCTCTGCTCGTTTTTTCATATACTTAATAGTTTACTAGTAAAAAAATAAATAATTTTTCCTTGCCGATTACACATAATTAGTATAACAGTTACTAAAAACGTAGTATGCGATTGTAAGGAAAAATAAGTAATTTTTTGCTCGTAAACTTTTAAGTAAGTATACGAAAAAATGAGAACAGTGAAAAAGTTGTTTGAATTAGCTAACGCAGAAAAAAGTTCTGAGAGAAATAAAACTAAGGGATGCTTCTTTGATTCAAAGACAAACCAGAAAAAAGAAGACTACCAAAAGTTATCATTCAACTATTTGTTAACGTGTACCAAAATTCAAATTTCTAAGTTTAACCGTTTTTGCAAAAAAAAAAAAAAATCTAATTTTTTCAGCCAATTTGAGACTCGAATATTTTTTCAGATGGAAAAAATTGATTGGAAGTATCCCCCCTAACGTTACATTCTAAACACCTCCCCAAAATATTTGCACATCATTATGAAACACCCTGTATATTCTTCACGTTATTATTTTTAATACCAACTAATAAATTATTAACAATTACTTACTACTTCGATTCTGGTAATTATTTCTTCTGTCCAGATTAACCGGAGGGGGAATGTTTGAGTACGTTCCTTGAGGTTTCGGTACGTGGTGTCCTAACATCCTGTGCCCAGATATATCCAAATTCGCCCTAAAATATAAAAATATTGCATAAACAAAAAAAAATAAAATAAAATAAATTCTTGTAAATATTATACAAGTAGTTCCAAATAATAACCTACAAAGCACATGTTGTTATATCTGTAAATGTCATTGCTACTTTATGTCTACTAGCGCATGTGCCTACTGACAAAGTGACCTACTAATTTGTAGACGATATGACTAGTATTACACTAGGCAGAATAATTTTTGTAACTAATGATGTTGTGGAAAACAACTATTCCACATGCTGTAGGTCCTGGCCAGCACAGAATTACACCCCCAATACCTAGTAAATAGCTAAGATCGGTAGGTTGCTTTCCAGTAGGTACATATACCAGTAGATACAAAGTAACAATGACATTTAAAGATGACATATGCTTTGTAGGTTATATCTCACCAATATTCAAAACCCGTCTGTATGAACACATCCAAAGAACTAATTCATTCATCGGTCGTCTCACCTATGGCATACTGACAGAACTAATTAACTAAGTTCAAAACCGATCTATATGATGAATGATTTTCATTATATTAGGGGTATAAATGAACGCATGTAGCCCATAAGTAATTGTTTCCCATGTTATTTGTTAAAAAAAAAATCCAAATTTGAAAAAAAAAAAATCCCAAACTTGTTTCCCTTTTACTGACCTTTGTGTGGCGGGGGCCATGCCGATCTGCGCTCTCCAGTTCCTATTCTGTTCCGGCGCCAGATCCGAGGGTTTCAACACCTTGGGCGGGTCCTTGGCCCCTTTCAACTTCCTGGCCTGGAATATGAAGCCCCTCGTGTACTTGGGATCCCTATACCTCACGCAACAGACGATGTTGTCCGTAAGAGGCGCCAGATCCTTAACGGGCGATTCCAGGTAACTGGAAAAACGTACGTTCGTATCGTTTAAATCAAAAAAAAAAAATGTTCCAGATCCAAAATAATAGGAAATAAGTCATACATAAACCAAGTCGCAATTTGTACCACTTCGCAATTTCATAAAATAATTTTTTATTCTCTGCATGGAAATTGTAAGGTGCTGTTCATTTCGCATAGTGTTCTGATAAGTTCACCCTGCGAGCATGCACTCAGAACGTCCTATTGTTACAAATGCCTACTTCTATCCTTGCTTAACGCGTACGAAATGAAAGACAAGCTGCGTGGTTTGATATCTTGAAACGCCGCCCTGTCTCAGTTTCCAGCTGAGGCGTGCCACTGCTTGTCATAAGCGTATAAGTGGGAAAGACATTATTTTCACATTTTAGTTACTCCAATGCTGTTAAACTTTATAAAATGATACTCATGGAACCCCACTCCCGCGCGGCTTACTATTCTACACCTGAAATTTAGTAAATGCTTCTTACCCGCCAACTTTGATGCACACATCGGATACGAGGACGGTTCCCTGCATTCCGTCGATGGAAACAGCGCATTCCGCCTCCATGTCGACCTTCTGTATGTATAGATTTTTCAGCAGGTCATAACCGCTATTTTGATGAGACACGTACAGCCTGTCGTCGCCCCTTATATTCCGTTTTATCTCGGCAGGCGTCAGTTTCTTGTAATAAGGCTCCAACGCCTTGAACAATCTCTTCTCCTCCACAAACGGCAACAGTGCAACGCCCTGCCAAGCGAATTTCTTCCCGTTCAAGTCGATCTTGAAATCTTCCGGGTAGAAATCTATGATGGGGGATTCCTAACGAATAAACAACGAAATAAGCGTATTCTGATCGTCGGGGATTAACTTACCGGACTGGACATGAGTTCTCCCCAGGGTTCAGGTACGTGTTTGCAACTGGCGGCGGGGAATACCCCCATAAGCTGTTCCAATGGTCGGAACTGAAACGGGTTCGAGCGAAAGTTAGAACGGGTTTAAATTTTTCGAGGGAAACTTACTGGTTTCGTGTCAGTTTCGAATTCAGTACTCAGGCCGGCGATGTTGCAGAAGTCAGAGGCGAACGGCGCATAATGGTAAGGGAAATACCATTTCCACGAGGCGCAACCCTGGTAATAATACCTCAGCACCCAGCACAACCCTCTGACGTAATGCAGGGCGACGGAATATCTGCAATGCGCTGCAATGAGTAAACAAATCTGTTTAAAATAAAAATAACCCACCTGAATTCCAGATTATCTGCAGGCACGTCAAACTTTGACTCATAATAGCGTTCCTTGAAACCGTCCTCCCACAACCGTACCTCGTCGTGGGCTTGATCGTCGTCGGAATCCTCGTCTTTCTGGGCTTCATCGATTTTCCTCTTCTGGCCTTGCGAGGAACTCTCAGAATGCGAAGTCGATCCTGCCGGATGGAACATCGAGTTCAGGGCGGTCCTTCTATCGAGCGTTTGCAACTGGGCTTGGGTATGCATGCCGGCCCTTCGAATGTTATAGGCCTCTTGTCGGGCATTGACGACAGCTTTCTGCTGACCCACAGCCTATAGTTCAAATGGAGATAAAGTGTGACGCAGTGGCGGTTTTCCTATAGAAGCGGTATTCAAACTGTATTGCGCGGAACCCTGGGGTTCCCCACAAAATTTTGAATATTGACACTATAAAATTCAAAAAAATACTCTTACTTAAAACTAGTATTTATAAATACATTATATAATCAGTAAAAAATGTATTCTAAGATTTTTTTAGATGTGGGGGTTCCCCAAAAAAATCGAAATGTTGGCCGGGTTCCGCAAGTCGTAAAAGTTTGAAGACCGCTGGTTTTCAAGATAGGGTGTATAGTCCAGGCAGTATCTGTTTTAAAAAGGGTATATTTTGGTAAATTTTTGCTTTAACGGCTTCTAAATAACGTCAGAAATGATAATTTTTCTATGCAAATAAAAAAAAACGTGGGCCTTATTGTTATTGCAAAAAAGTATAAAAAAATAGCAAAAAAATTCATTTTTTTCTTGGATTTCTCGTCGACAACTTAGCAACTATTAATTTTAGACAAAAATGGAAGAGGAAAAAAAGTTTTGTAATTAAATTTTGAACAAGATAGATAGTTGCAAAAATCGGAAAAATCATTTAAAAAATTGCAAAAAATGCTAGTTTATTTGTCAATTTTATTCAGACACTTGAATAATACATCTTCATAGTTTTCCCAATTAAACTTCTTAGTGCATAGAATCATCACACCAAATTTTATCCAATTCGGTTTGATAGTTTTTACATAATTGTTTAAAATTTTTATTTTAAATTAAAAAATTTTCAAAATCAAATTTCTAAAAATCTAAAGCCTTTGAACACTTGAAAATTTCACCACAAAAAGTAGAGCTCTCAAGCTTTAAAATGCTTTCTGAAAAATTCAAATTGGACGATTAGGTGAGCCATGATGATTGTTTAAACATTTTCGCAATTTTTACGCTTATAAACAATCGCAGTAATTTAATGTTTTCTTCAAATTTTTTTTAATTTTAAAATATGGTTCGAAAGTATTCGGAAAGGCGAGTATTTAAAAAGTATTACCTGGTGCAACATGCAAAAATTTTGGTCATGAATATTGACATAGTAAATAAATAAACAATAAATTAATCGTTTTTTAAAGTAACTGTTTATCGGCATGTCAAAAGTCCAATAATTAACAATAAAAGGTAGTTGAAAATATGATAATTGAATTTTTTAAGTTGCGAGACATCAATTTAAAAAAAAATCATCGAAAATGGTCCATTAGAAGCCGAGTCGGATTTGAATTTTTCAAAAAACATTTTATAGCCTGAGAGCTTTTCTTTTTGTGGTGAAATTTTCAAGTATTCAAAGGCTTTAGATTTTTAGAAATTTGATTTTGAAAATGTTTTAATTAAAAAAAAAATTTAATTATGTAAAAACTATCAAACCGAATTGGATGAAATTTGGTGTGATGATTTTATACACTAAGAAGTTTAATTGGGAAAAGTATAAAGATCCTAGGTATTATTCATGTGTCTGAAAAAAATTGACAAATAAACTAGCATTTTCTGCAATTTTTTAAATGATTTTTCTGATTTTGCAATAATAATTATTTTTTCGAATTGCAACTAACTCTAGTTCAAAATTTAATTACAAAACTTTTTTTCCTCTTCCATTTTTGTCTAAAACGAATAGTTGCTAAGTTGTCGACGAGAAATCCAAGAAAAAAATTAATTTTTTTGCTATTTTTTTTTTAATACTTTTTTGCAATAACAATAAAGCCTCGTTTTCTTTTATGTGCATAGAAAAATTATCATTTCTGATGTTATTTAGAAGCCGTTAAAGCAAAAATCTCCGATCATATGCGTTTTACCCAACCCGAAACAAATACCGCCTGGTCTAATAGAAATTTTAAAAATATGTCACCTTTTCTAAAATATCTCTGAAGAAGTTTGATGCAAAATGATGATACACAAACGATTTATCTAATTACTGGATTCGGATATACATAATTGTCAAAAGTGTTGACAATACAAATAAATTAATGTGGTAATCGTTACCGATGATCTATAAGGAAATTGGAGTGAAGAGAAATAAGAAAAATTACAAATCAAACAACGCTAACGATGGTCATGGAACGATAATTGTTAATAAGAGGTCAATCGCCTGCTCCAAAATGGGAAATATAAAGTGAAATTTTCACAAACTAGGAAAATCACAACTACAAAAACAAAAAGTTGTTACGTCACTTACTTGCGGAGCAAACTGGGTATTCTTCACGAGATTCCAATTCGGTCTGTACTCGTTAAAACCATCTGACCTCCTCTTCTTCGCCTTCTCCCTAGCCTTAAACTGAAGTTCCTTCTGCTGTCTCGTTTTGAAGATTTGATCCTCGACTTTGCCCAGTTCCAACATGATCAGCTGGACCCTTTCCAAATTCACGTCGCCGCTGTCGGTCAAATAACCCTAACAAAAAAAATGCTCGTCACACTTATTCATTAGCGAAAGAAAATACTTACACCTGTTTTGTACACACAATCTTTGTAAAGGGTAACCAAACGGTCGATGGCGCCCTCTCTGATCTCCAAGCTAGGGAGATGCGGTAAGAAATCGTTCCCCACGAAGAAGCACATGAATACCCAGTCGTCCACCACCCGTTCGAACTCATACTTGAACGGCAGGTTGGGCATGAAAAGCTCCTTCTCCAGGTATTCCTTCAAGACGTTCAGTCTGACAAAGATATAGTCGGTTTGGTCACCGAGAAATACGTCGGCGGGTTTCTCTTGTTCCGACTGACTTCCTCCGATGCAGTCCTTCATTTCGTGACCTATAAGAATTATTATTCAATTGATTTGAAACTTGAAAAAAAAATGTAATTAGAAATGACAGGTAATAATTAATAGCAAACCTATCTGTCCGCAAATTTCACATGGTCTGGGTTTGTTCGGTTTGAACTCTTCACGGACGATGGTAAAGTTTGGTTCGTGTGTAGCCAAGCCCAACATGATCAAATCTGCATCGGCACCGCATAGGCAATGCTGGGTATTGGGATCGTGATCCGGTTGGGCTCTCTGCTTTCTGATATAGTCCATGATTTTATGTTCGCCTTCTCCCGGTACATTGGCATCTGATAAAATTACCTAAAAATTAAAAGGGTTCGTGTTTATATACATATTTATACAGGGTGTAATTTTAAATACTTCTAGTTATACAATAGGCCAATAGGATAAGGACACTAGATGGTGACTCTTCCAAAACAGGATTTTACCTTTATTCCTTTCCATCCAGGACTGTTATTAAGCCTTTCGTGAATGTAGTAGTGTAAACATTCGGATAACCTAGCCATAAATGGGGTACCAGGAGTGATACAGTTAGAATCGAAATGTTCTTCCTTGGGTTTCTCGGGGGGCAATACAATTCCTTTCAGCAACAATTCGGCTCTAATCCGTTTTATCTCTTGAATTTTCTCCCAAGTTTCCTTAGAGGCCCTGAAACGTCTGGAACGTTGTTGGTTCATCTTTGCTCGCGGAGCAACTCCATCAATAGCCATATAAAGAAGTTTACGTGGTCTAACGATATTAAAAATTCTGTCAATGCATTCGAATATTGCCACCATCATCTCGTCTTCATTTTTTGGAGCGGGTCGATCCTCAGGATGTGTACAAGGATGTATTATACCGTTCATGTCAAGATATAAATTATCAAATTCGACCCCATTCGGATTTGGTTCCGAGGAATCAGTTGGCAATCGAACTCCATTTATATCTACTGGCTGAAAATAACGGAATATAATAAAATATAAACATTTTTTACTTAACCTCACTTTCTGTTCGACGCAATGCACGATTACAGAAGGATATTTTCTGCTCAACCACCTGAAAAATGCTGGTACTCCCATTGTCGATGGTAGTTAAAATAAATTAACAATATGAAATGTAGAATTTTAAAATTAACCCAAACATGTTTGGTACACACATCACAAAAGAAGGAAGACCACACCACGGAACAAAAAAGAGAAACGGCAAAAAGGCGTCATTCTTCTTCTTCCTCTAGTTAATGGCTCAGTTATTTGACCGATACAAACTACTGGACATTGTACCTATTCTCTGATTAACTTGGAATAGTAGGCATTGCAATTTCATCCTTTATTTTATTTTATAATACATAAATGGAAAAGAAAACAACTGATTCAATTTGTATTATTCGTGATAAAGGCGCATTGTACTTTCAATTTACCTAACACAAAGGGATAAGGCAATGCAGATAATAAAAAATAGTAAATACATCACTTATATCACACGACTTTATTAAAAATACAAAAAATATGTAGTTATGTAAAATACAATTTATATCATTTACATAATGAACTATTTTTTAAATATACATCTATAAGAAATGTTTCAACAGACTAACAATTAAAAATAAAGAAAAACAATGATTAATTAGTATGCCATTTAAGTTCTGAATAAAACCAATGATTTAAAATACCGACAAGAGAGCAATTATTTGAACATTGCGAAAGTCAGAACGGTCACATTGTTTTTTTCTTAGTTCACAAAGAAAATCAATCAAAATTATATCGCCGTTCTTTGTCTCAACAAACCAAAACTTATTTAGCAAAGTATTTTTAAAAATAACTTAATTAGGCAGTCTCAAAAATAACACCAATTGGTTTTATAAAATAAAAAATATTGCTATATCCATCCACACAGTGAAAATAGCGAAGAAAAACTTAAAATATCTGTATGTCAAATGTTGAAATGAATTATAATCACGATAAAACTTATTTTTATGCTCCTTACATATATTTATACATAAATATATTTAAAAATAAAGTGCTTGCCGTTTTGTCAATCCTAATGAACACAGATTTGCTGAAAAAGAAACTGAAATCGATTCGACTTTGCTTAAACTAAAATAAACCAATAAAAAATATATATACAACTTTTGAATGAACATAACATTAAAGCAAAGGCAGTTTTTATACATAATATACATTATAATTTAAAATATTCCTCTCTAATATGTACACTTAAATCTAAATTTGACTAGGCTTTCTTTATCCCAGGGCCGTGGAGTTCTATAAAAGATTCCAAAGCCCTGGGCACTTGCCCTTGATAGGTAAGCTTGTGATGTTTCACCGCGTTCGCAGCCATACATTTAAGGCTCAATTTCATCTGAGTTTTTAATATTATTTCTGCCACTCCTAAAACAAGAAAAATAAAAAAAACTTTCACCCCTTCCAAGCAAGTCTACGCCCAATAAAAATTCTTTTACCTGTAGCCGACGAATCCAACGGTGTCTCTCCCCGTTTGTTCACGCAATCCACGTGCGCCCCGTTCTCCGTTAAATCGGTGATGATCGAATGCAGCGTCATAAAGTCGGAAATAGCCTTGTGGTAGTTGACAATTACATGAAGAGGAGTGTTTCCTTCCAGGTCCATAGCGTTCACGTCCGCCCCGCACTTGATCAACAGTTTTGTGGTCTCGGCACAGGGAAACCTAAAAATACACACCGACAATCATAAAATGAAGGAGAACTGGCAAACGGTGATATTTACTTGCATATGTCGTTCGTATGGAAGTCATCCACGGGCGTTTCGGCATTACACGCCAGATGCAGGAGCGACTGCCCGTCTCTGAGCGTTATCTGCAACTGGTTCAGAGTGAACACCATGCGTCTAACGTTAAACTTTTCCTCCTCGCTGCACTGTTTCATCAGTTTCGTTAAGATCGTTAATAGGTACAAGGTAGTCGTAAGGTTACCTTCTATGTCATCCTAAAACGGTTGATAAAACAAATTGTACTAATTCCAAAGTTGGGTAATATACATAAAAAAATGTTTTCCTTGATATTAAATTAATGAATTACTAAATAAAGTTAGTTATCACAGCAAACAAATTTTCAGTTCAGGAGCAAAACTTTACAAAATTTGCCACAAATTTAACGCCTAAGCTAACTTATACAGGGTATAACGTTGAATGGGAGTCATAAATAATAATTATGCAAAAGAAAAACTAAAAATAACTTGTAGTCCAATCGTCCTGATCAAAATTGTATTTAAAGATGGCATTAATTCCAAAGTCCGCAATTTTTTGCATGTGGCTAGTTTTTTGCTAGTAGATGAGGAAAAAAATTGTTCTGCATGGGAGTGGACCGAGAAAATTCGAAAAATGACCGGAAAACTGCAAAAAAATTTATTTTGTGAATAATTTGGGAAGTATAGAATTTTACAAACATGCTAAGGACCAAAGTTGTACAGCGTAAAATTTTGTATAAAAAAAGTATGTATGATATTTTTGAGAAAATTGAATCATGTCCTCTAAGTTTAATTTTTTATTTAGAAAATTTGGGATGAAGGTGAAATAATATATAGAGACAAGAGATTTGTAGAAAATTGAGGATTTATTACAACTGGAATGTTTTTTTATGTGTAGTTCACAAAATATGCACTAGCCCACCGAGTTATACATGACTCATCTTCGTCGCTATAAGGATGTTCTGAATCCGAAATCTCCTCCCACTCTAGTTTTCATGGAAAAACAATAATTCAACTGTGGGTACACATATCCGCAAGCGACTCATTTTATATAGTAAAGTACAAAAAAATCGACGCGGGACGCAACAGGGTACCAGAAAATGTCCACGGCAGATTGGCGCCAAGGACAAGATGCCTACGAACGAATCCACACCAGGAGGACTCTCCAGCGAACGCTCACCCAACAACCCTTCTTTTTCACTAACTTGAGAGAGTTTTCTTTTGCTGCCCATCGAAAGCAACCCTCAAAACACAGCCTCGTTTTTAAATACGCGTTTTTCTAGCAGATTTGCGTAAGGATCGTTATTTTGTGTAAATCCCTAAATATATACTAAATAACGCACTGTACGAAAAAATCAATAGATAATTTTCGAGAGAATCTACTTGATGAAACAAATCTAAGTAAAATGTGGAAACGAACTTCACAGTAGTTGTTTTTTTATGTGATTAGTCTTTGTCAAGAGTGATGATAAAACAGCAAGAATACATTTCCATAAATGATTGCATTATTTAAAATTTTCAAAATATCAGGTATGTATTTTTGTATTAATTATATTTAGACATTTCATTTTTGGTATTTATTCTGGAAAATTATTTATTACTAGCCGTTTACTAGGTACTGCCTGTGAAATTTAACGCTAGTTAAGGCATATAGCCGATAGATCAGTTGTTTCCATAATATCGGCAGTTAGGAGTCTTGTCTGCGGAGTAGGATATCTTTTGTATACACCAGGTTCCACTGTGATTTCATTTAATAACATTTAAAAAAAAATTAATTTCGAATCTGTTTGAATTACCGTAACAGCTTTAAAAAAGAATAACAAATGCAAGATCTAATAATAAAATATGTTTTTTTTTAACAATTATTTAAACACCTATAAGTGGTAAATTGAAAACTAAAATAAATGCAATAAAATGTAACAGTGACATATACCTTCCGCTAAATTAATGTTGGAAGTTTGTTGTTTGTCCAACTGCCACCCTGTTGTCATATCACATCAGGTGGATTGATATATAGTTCACTTAAACAAGGTCAGAGTTCACAGACACTGAGATTCATAATCTAAACACAGTGCTTCAACTTGTTTTATAAAAAATTAGTTCCAGATTAGTATTCTGCGGAAAACATATTATTACCAATAAAAAATTGATCTACACTTAACTTAAACCCTGCATAGTTATTTCAAATTCAATTTTGGTGCATTTACTCTTCAAATTAAGCTGAAATTAAAAACTTACTTCTATCGGGAGCTAAAGCATGAAAAAAATTAGTTTGCCAAGCGTAAATCTACTAATGCATAAAAACACACATGTTTAATACTTCCTTTGCGGTTATATCGACAAATCGCATCTACTAAAATAAAATAAACCAAAAGGCGTAAAAAAATAATTTCGATCTACCGATCATAAACCTGTACTAACCAATAAGCTGATAAATAAGCAAATTACCATGACAGTTTCTGGGTCGTCCTTGGGTCCCGGCCTGACGAGTTTCTCCTTGTTCCTCTCCAACTCAGAAATCGCGGCCGATAAAACCTCAACCACATGGCTGTAGGTCACTTTCACGCCGACATGCAACATCTGCGAGAACACCTGGGCGAACCTGAGCAGGTCCTTGACTACGGACACGTAGTTTTTCTGTCTCAGTTTCAGGGCGTGCAACCACAATTCCAGGCACCTATCGAACCGGGCGTTATCGGCGAAGACCGCCCCCCGATATATCACGGGATGGGGCACCTCGGGGTTGTGCGGACCGAGGATGCGCTCCCGGATCGTCAACGCCTCCATGTGCAAGCTGTTGTTGTTGCCCTGGATGGCCTCCAGCTCGGGGAGGGTTTGGCACTCTACCCAGTTCTCGTAGGCTGGTATTGGAGGTATCAGATTCTTTTTAACTGGGTTAGTGGGGTCGTCGTACCTGTAATTATACCGGCTTATTTCTGTCACGCCTTAAAATAAACCGCTAGATTGCCAATAGATTGTTTACATATTTGTAAACAAAGAAAGTCTATATATAAATGCGAAATACAGTTTGTTAATGAACTCTTTAAGATAACGCAACAAAAAGATTTTAAATATAATTTTTTTTGTGTTGAAACACATGAATGGCTAAAAAAATTACGAAAATTAATCAAAAACTTACAACTGACGCGACTTCTACGACGTCGCTACCAATAGTTTAGTCAATAGATATTGTAGCTTAAATGATTTTACCACCTATTAGGAAGTTAATTTTATCGTAAAACATGATTTTAAAAAAATAATACCTTACGCTATTTCAGTAATTTAAGTCAAGTTGAGCAAAATATGCAGCTTTCTGCACTTAAATAACTTTTAATGTTGCTTTTGAAAATGACGAAAAATATGGACCGCCTAAGAGCATTTTCAAAGAAAATGAAGGATACATTTTCAAGAGAATGCTCGAATGAAAATTCTCGAAAAATAAGTTCTCGAGCATTTTACAACACTAGATAAAAGGTTCAATTCTAAGATGGTAATAGTTCGAATCTAAACTCACCTCAACGTCATCGACATGTGCATGTATCTGTAAGCCTTGACGAGGTCATAATTCTCTTTATCGTTAGCGTACGACGCCCCCAACAGCTCCAGAGCTTCGATTCTCTCCTCTTTGGTAATTTCCGACCTCTCCAGCAAATATTCCACCACATCGTCCCTGGTCCTTTCGGCAGCAGCTTTTATCGGAGTCATGCTGGCATCGTTGCAAGAAAATTTAGCATTATACTTCAAAAGTTCCCTAACTACATCTACGTATCCGCACTCGGCAGCAAAGTGAAGGGCGGTAGCACCACACAGAGCTTTTTCGTTGGGATTGGCACCATTTTCTAATAAAAAACTAACCTAGAAGAAAGGTAATAGTGAATTCTTGAGGTCGACACTTCCACTTCCGTGTTACTTACTACATCTAAATGTCCCTTGTAGGAAGCAATCATAAGACAGGTATTGTTGTACTTATTAGCTATGTGTATATTGGCATTGTGGTACGTTAAATATTTCACAATATCCAGTCTTCCATCAAAACATGCAGCCCGGAGCGGCGTGGAGTTTGTTTTTGTCGGATGGTTCACGTCCGCGCCGGCTTTCACTAACGCTTTGCAAATATTCAAATGACCTGCAATACAACGACATCAAATACAAAACTGTAAAAAACACCCTCAGACATAACAATCAGATAATTGATTTAATTCACTTTTAATTTCAATTCACAACATTTGCTTCTCTTACTCATTCAAATTCCAAACTTGACCCACTCAAATTCCATGTGTTCTACTCATTATGCACTTGGACTCTACCTTAAATTTTTTATTGTTTTTCTATACTCGATACTTAACATAAACTACGAGTCATTACATATTTTAGTAAATGTAGTAAAACATAGATTTAAAACAAACATTAAATGATTATATACACATTTGTTAACTCAAATTATTGTAAAATTAGGAAATTTTCTAAACAATTTGCAAGAGTCACATTTTTTGTATTGGTCTAATTTTGGCGACTGAATTGAGGTTATGTTTATAAGAAAATTTGCCAATTCCTACACCAATATTTCAACAATATTTAATACATTCTATAATTTCTGAAATTTGTTTTGTACGATCTGTAAATTATTTGCAGACACAAAATAAATAAATAAATACTATAAGTAAAAAGACAGGGACAAAAGAATTCAAATATATTTTCTTCAAAACATAAAACTTTCCAAAAATTAAGTTTAATATTTCGTATACAAACCTGCACAAGCCGCACACCACAAGGCACTAGCACCTTCAATAACATATCCATCAAACTTAACAATTCCCTCTTGTTCTAGATTGGGATAAAACTTTGAAAGAAGCATTCTCACGACTTTTTCGTGTCCATTCCTAGCAGCTACGATAAGAGGTGTACATGCCTGGCCATCATCCTCCGATATTTTCTGCAATTACACTCACTCTTTCAAAAAAAGAATACTGATTAGTAGTAATTGTTAAGTATCAAAAGTTATTTTTAAATAGTTATTGGCAATAGACTACTTGAACACTGACCTGTCAATAGCCTTTAGGAACAAAGAGAATAATATAACAACTAGGAAAACAAACAAAAACCAAGAAATACGCACCTCATTTATTAAACTATTCACTTCATTTCTTTCTATATCGCTCATTAAAGTGTACAGGGCTATGGACATACCATCTTTTGCAGCATAGTAAATACGATTTTTTAATTGCTCTCTTGGTTCGTACATCTTTGATCAGTTTGAAAGCATGCTTCGCACTTCACAGAAATCTATTTTCAACTGGTGTGGAAAATCGCAATTGAACGTTTCCTTTAAATTTTCCTGACGTAACGCAGGATCAACCAACACATTTGTTAGTCTTACAAAATCTGCATATGTCACGTCACGTGACGGACCTCTAACCCTGAAATTGACACGCGCGAAAGCCTAACTGCGCACCACGCGTACTTCACCGCTTCCCGGATGACCAGTTCCTAAAAAATTCAAAAAATGTTTCAAAACTTCGCATTTTTTTACTTGCGTATTTTTGGACATATCATAATTTTACGTTTTCAAAATCTGATTTAACTGTGGAAATGTTAATTTTACATTAATTTAGTACATAAAGAAACCGTTGAATTTAGATAAGTACTAATTAATTCCGTTGACTGAAATATGTTAATCAACATTAATTCTAATTTTGGTTATTGCCGTACAATACAAATTTTTCACTAGATGGCAGACCTTGTACTTCATATTTCCGTAATAAAATAAACATAATATTATAAAATTAAAGTAGATTTAAATAGTAACGAATTCACGAATAGACTTTTTCACAAATTTCGATATTTGTTTTAAACTAAATCTGTTAGCTACATTCAAATTTAAATTATCGTGAATTGTGACGTCACGTGTCTATAACTACGGTATCCAATGATAAAGCTTTATTCGCGACTGAATATTAGTGAATATCTAACTTACTTAATACCACATATCTAATAATACTATCTTATCTTATCTTAGTTGTCATATGGTAGTTTAGAAACCTTGGTTTTAAATCTCTTCATTCACTCACATTACACATTGCTACAACATACTTCACTCGCGAAAAAAACATAGATAAGCGAAAATTAATAGGGGTTTTTGGAAACTGAGATCAGATGGATTACTAACAAATATTTTGCAATTTCAAGAAACAGTCTTGTATTTAAAAAGACATTATAAATCGAGACAGACGAAAAAATTAACATTAAAATATGTTATTAACAATATTTTTCAAACCCTTTTTAATATAGACTGATATACTTTCCGAACTAAAAGATCAGTTATTTTATTCTACTGATCGGGTTAACACGATCAGTTTCCGAAAAGCCTAAAAGAAAAGAGATGGTAGGTATTACAACAAGGCAACTTAATTGATTACAGAAACTTTAGCGATTTTCAGCTAAACGGTTACATCGGTTATCGGCTTGAATAGAGTACATAATTTACTCTTTTCAATAATGTTTAAATTAATGTGATGTCTAGCAAGGAAAATAGTTATGAATCATAGACAAATTGATTATGAACATACAAATGTCGAGTTCAAGGTAAAGTGCCCTCTAGCGGCACATAATGAAACTTTTCTCTGACTGGTCCAATAGAGCTACTTGGTGGGTGCGTCAAAATGAGAAACTAATCGAACTTGAAGTAAATAAGTTATTTAAAAAGAAATATGAAACTTGGCAAGCTACAACTGATAATTCGAAAAAAAAATTTCATTACATACTATTATTTTAATACGTAAAATCACCTCCTGGAGTTACCTGATGGATTTCCAGGACACCCTGTGTATAATTTTTGCGCATATTTGTTTCATATTTTTTAATCTATTTTCATTTTATAATGTAGTTAATACACTCCATTTAAACAACTGTTCACAAACGAACTTCTCTTTAAAACATCAATTACAAACTCTTTCAATTCGAACAATGTCTTAACAAAAATAAAGTATACAAGGCGTCGCTGAGTTATGAGATATCTTAAATCTAGAGTAGGTTTTTTCTTTAATTTCGATTATTTTTTTACGGTTTTTCACTTTTGTGGTTGCGCTAACGCAAAAGATAAAATAAACAAAACAAAAGTTAAAATTGTCTTTATTATACAATTAAAATTGTTCATTAAATGCATTGTACTGTTTATACTTATTCAATTTGGTACAACGGTGCTTTCTTTTTGTCTGTACCCTCTGAGGATAAAAACAAAAAAAAAATGTGTTGTATGTTAAAACTACACAAGTTAATCTATTTATCCTTTTGATTCTTAGAAATATACTGAAGTAGATCAATTGGTGTTATTATCCCTAATGGTTTTTCAATCTGCGAGCTGCCAGTACCTAAAAAACATAATGTAATTATCATACAGAGAAGGTTAAGGGGCACAAAACTGATTTTAACAACAGAAGTTATTCAACACAAACTTCAATATCTAGATATATTCCATTACCTTGCTTTTCTAACAATAAAATATATGATTCCTTTTCCAAGATTCTCGATACGAGACCAAGATTAGCTGTTTTGTACACCTTCGGGTAGATCCTGACGATCACCTTATCCGTGTTCTCGTTCGACTGTACCGTCCCGGCTAGGAGTTTCGTCATGAGATTCTGCAAAGTTACCACGCCAACGATGCCACTGGAAAGACATTGCTCACTAATAATTAACTCTTACAGTAACGGTAAACCTTAGATAACCGTAAAAAGATAATCAGGAATTGGTCTCAATCGAAAATGATTACGTTATGTATCCTGAATTTATAGTTGATTTAATATCTAATAGGATGTCATTCTATCAACACGTTTTGAGTGTGGGTGAGATATAACCTAACCTAAAGGATATATCTTAAATGTCATTGTTACTCAAAGCTTACTGGCACAGAGCATTTGCAGCTACTGGCAAAGGATGACCTACTAATCTGTAGGTGCCGTGAAAGCATTGAAACACAGCCTCAATATCTAATTTAATAAACAGCTAAAGTAATTCGCTAGCTACGTTACTAGCATGTATCTCGCAGAGTAGTTGCTTCCCTCAACATCAATAGTTAAAAAAATTATTTAGTTTAGTATGAAAACAAGTCACGCTTTCATAGTACCCATAAATTACATAGTAGGTTTGTTTGTCAGTAGGTACAAAGTAATGTCTTGTGCCAGTAGGCATTGAGTAGCAATGATATTTAAGATATGACATATATTTTGTAGGTTATATCTCATAAAGTCATTTGTGATATTGTCTTTGTTCATTTAAATTTCAGAATTAAACTGTCATGTGTCATGTTATCGTCACAACCTGTAATAAAATACAAACAAATAATGCTACAGTTTAGTGGTGTTTAGTTGTGTAAAAATAATGTAAAAATGTTGAACATTTGTCTAAGGTATGTTAGCAGTTGGTGCTGCAATTATTGTGGTAATCTAGAACTAGTTTGTGTATCTAGAATCTGTGAAGTACTTTTACAATAACCTCAAGTCTAATCCGGCAAATGGCTCCATCTATCATTATCAGTACAAACAATATTCCATTGCGATTCACTTTCTGTTGTTTTTATTGTTTCTCAAACAGCACTCTCTGCACAAATTGTTAATCGGCAGTAGCTAAGATGTTAAATTGTCGTATTTGAAACACAAATTTTCCATTAATGAGATGGCCTAGTAAATTAGTTTTCTTGGAAAACTCCAGGATAAAACTATAAAACGTGATCCAATTCAAAGATTATATTTGAATAATGATTTGAAAAAACAGATCATGTCATTGGACTGCCCGGTCACGGAATAATGAATCCTTTGAATTTTATTTGTGAGGTCATAGGCAAATTTTAGTGTATTTGTATAGCAAAATTGAGCACAAAAAACTACTTTTGCTGTTTGGAAAGTAACAATTTTTCAATATGTACGAAAAAATTGAATTCGTAGAGTAAATCACTAAACTGATGAGGAAAAAACGTGTTGAACTATTTAATGTTAACAGGTAAATCAGGGCTCCTACATCCATTCAATACAATAAGTATGAAACACATACAGGGTGATATACGAATGGTGACCAAAAATGAAAATATTCTTTGGTGAATTTTAAGGGTCTTTCATATAAAGTTTTTATCTATGACACTTCGTTAAAATGATACAGGGTGTTAAACTTAAAAAAATATATTTAATTGTTTTAAATAATGTAAAAACTAGCAAGTCAAATAATTTGAAATTGGGCATGTGTGTTTATGTAAACATTGTCCAAAATCTGAGGCCTCTTCCTAAAAGAGTGACCGCAAAAAAGCCTGTTTTTGAAACTTTGACAGAGGCGACAGGGAAAATCCTAAAAATATCCAAAAACTCATGAAAAATTAAAATGAGCATCACTTTCAGTTTTTCGAAAATTTTCGAAAATCACCCTTATTACAAAAAAGATACAAACACAAAAAAAGTGAACAAATTAAGAATCATCTACAGTTGTAAAACCCCATATTTCTGTTTTTATTAAAATAATATTATGAACGTGAAAATATCTAATTTCATATTTGATACGGTCTTGTCTGGATTGAAAATCAACCCATAATATCCCTAAAAGGGTGAAATCATCCCCTAAATGCCTAAAAATGCAAAAAATATTTTAAGTTATAATTTTTGTTCTTTTGCTTTTATACGTGATAATTGAACCGTTAATAACCCACAATCACTAGAACCGAAGGAAAATACCCCTACATGAGGGTAAAACCACTCCTAAGTTCAACCATTGGCTTCAAAGTACATAAAATAATTGTAATGCATGAAAAATATAATGTTTCGAAATACATTCATTAGAATAATTTATACACAAGTACTCCCATACCCCCATCAATCATCCCTCTCAAGGGGTAAAAAAATATACAAAAATTGTAGATAATGTGAAAAAATATTATATTGAAATTTTTTTGAATTTTTTTTTAATTTTTTTCTAAATAAAATAGTACGCCACCGCTTTACGGTAACAACCATGATATTTTCGGATTCGTCTTTCAATTTTCTACAAATTACTACTCTCTTATGTTTTTGGAAAAAAGCCTCATTTTCGAGTAAAACTTAAAAAACGAACTGTATCTACCCTGTATCTTTCTAACGAAACGTCCTAGATAAAAACTACCCTTAAAATTCACCAAAGAATACCAGGTTTCATTTGTGGTTGCCGTTTGTGAATCGCCCTGTATATTCAAAGTGAGGATTAATGAAATTCACTTACCCATTAGCATCAACAACCGGTATTTGATCAACGCCCATTTTCTTCATTAGATGCAAAACCCTTTCGCACGTCATCGCGGTGGTGACCGATTGCAATTTTTCCAATTCCAAAGTCGAAACTTTAATATCCCACCACCTAAAACACGGGTTTTTAAGAATGCAAGAATTCTTTTAATCGAATATCCCCACCAATGATTCTGCGTGTTAACGCAAGGCTTAAGTGATCTTGCCTCCATCCACTGGTCCGATATAAACTTCGTAATGTAGTTTCTGATACTATCGGGCATAATGACCACCACGTTTTGACCCTCTTTCAAATCCTTCGCTGCTTCTAGTGTAGCGACTAATACAGCGCCCGAGCTAGTACCTATTTAAAACGTGTAACTTAAAATAAACCTTAATAAAAAAGATGCGATTCAATGATTTCTTACCGACCAACAATCCTTCCTCTTTAATCAACCTTCTAGCCATGGGAAGAGACTCCTTATCGTTCGTTTTTACCCACTCGTCAACCACCGATCGATCCAAAACAGTCGGTATAAAGTCGTAACCTATACCCTCCACTTCATAGAATGTTACGTCGCTCTCGTTCAATTTTTCTGGCTGTGCTAAAATGGAACCTTCAGGATCAACGCCAACGATTACCGTGTCCGGCGAAATTTCCTTGAATTTCCTGCCTATACCAGCAACAGTTCCGCCTGTACCTGCCCCAAGTACCTAAAAGAGCCATCGACGATTAAGAAACATTCTCTTCATTAAAAATTAGTAACTTACTATCATATCGACCTTCTTATCTAATTGATCGTAAATTTCCTCAGCTGTGGTGTCGTAATGAGCCAGAGGATTAGATGGATTTGAATACTGAAAGAAAATGTTAACTTTGAACCCCTACTTAAGGTTAAACCGTGCATATTGAACTGGAAAAATTTACAACCGACGTACCTGATCCAAAATCACGGAATTTGGAATCTCCTTTCTCATCCTGTGCGTTACTCCAAACATGCCATCTGGAGCGTCGGAAGCTGCGGTAACGGGTACTCTGACAATTTCGGCTCCAAGTGCTAACAAGACTGATACTTTTTCGTTTGACATCTTCTCCGACATTACAATGAGACATCTATACCCTAAAGAAATTAGTTCACAGAAACCAATTGAAAATTCAAGGATAAGTATATACCTTTTACGGCAGCAGCAAGGGCAACACCTATGCCGGTGTTTCCAGATGTCGGTTCGATAATTGTACAACCTGGTTTTAAGATGCCTTGCTGTTCGGCATCTTCCACCAGCCGAAGGCCGATGCGGTCCTTTACCGAACCGCCAGGATTAAAATACTCACATTTTGCATCTGAAAATTAGGGTCAACTTACTGAACATTGTGTGATACTGATAAGAAACTAAGAAGCTTTTTCATTTTTCTTTTCCTCAAAAAATATATGTAAATATAAAAATAAATATTTTGAAAAGATTTATAACCTACAAAGTATATGTTATGTCATATTTTTAAATTTACTGACACATGTACCTACTGACAACAATATTTTTAGTTCAAATGTTTACTTGTTGTTATGAAACATGTTGCTGTAAAAATTGTAAAAAAACATAATTATCTGCCTTGTTTTTAAGCACTTGTAACCTTTTGATTACCTCAATTTTTATTATTATTAAAAAATAATATATCAAATAACAACAATATTTACCAAATGTTATTTTATGATTTTTCCATAAAACCAAATAAGATAATTATCAATATGCCCACGGTTTAGTTTGTTTGTGAGATAATTTGGCTCTTGGTAAGACCGGAATAATGCTGAAGAATCAATAGACGTGCAGTGGGCGAAAACGTTCAAAATTCCATACGAGGTAGTAAAAGTTGTCCAAATTGGGATGTTTTTTATAAATACTCATAATTATGTCCGATTTCTTATGTCACTGTGACAGTTGCGATATTTTAAGATCTCAACTTACTATATCTTCTATTCTTATATTCTTACCACAAAATATGAACAATATTTAGCGAATATAAAAAAAGATATAAATCTTAAAACCAGTTAATTGTAAACCCTTCAATAAACCTAATAATCCCAAATTCATTAAATTAAACCCACAAAATTCAGACCCATAAAATTTAAACCAATAAAATCTAAACCCACAAAACCAAAACCTATAAGAATAAGGCGCAAACCCATGAAATCCATCCGTCCAAACCCACAAAATCCAGATCCATACAATCTAAACTTATACAAACTAAACCCACAAAACCTAAATCCATAAAACTCAAACCCATAAAATCTATACAACCTAAACCGACAAAATATAATCCCAATAATCCCAAACTTGTAAACCCTTAAATTTCAAAATAATAGATTGTAAACCTGTAAATCCTGAACTATATAAATTTTACATTTTAAATTTAATTATTCACGAATTCAAAAAAATAGTTCTTTTAGCCATAGAATCAAAGCGTATTCCATGTTTTCCAAAATGCACCGCGTGGAGATGAACTACATCACACTTATTTCTTTTTGTTTTTTTGTCGTTTTTATCTTTATTTTTTTGTTTTTTCTTCTCCTTTTTTTATTTATTTAATTTAGTTTTTGGGCTCTGAATCTGGGTAGGAAGATTCAATTTAAGTTTTACTACTGTGCAGTATTATTCATATTTTGTAGCATCAAAGTATGGAAAACATTTCTAATTGTAATTTAATCGTAAGTGACATAAGAAAGCGGATATAATTATATTTAATCATTTTCAGTTTTTAATATGGACAATTATTTATTTAACTAGACATTTCTGGTTCAGCTATATTTCTGGTACCTATCGAAAATATTGACTTGATTTAAAAAAAAAATATTTTGAATTTATCTGAATTAACTTTAAAATGAACCATTAATCACTAATCACTAACTATCCAAAATCAGCAAAAGACGTGTTCTTAAAATGGAAATTATCACAACCCTGTATATTATAAGTATAAAAATATGTAATCTGTAAATGTATAGCAAAAAATGAATAACAATAATTATGAAATACGATAATGTACATATTACACACTACATTATGAAACTGTGAAATGTTTATTCTGAACTATAAACTGACCTCATTTTTAATTTGTGTTTTATAAATAAGTATTAAATGGTAACAAAAATAACTAACCCATAAATTATTTAGCTTCATTATTTCACAACTAAGAATCTCAAGACTTAGAATTTCCTATCCTCAAATTATTAGAATTTCTAGATAACCACTTAAGATATTCAACTTGTTTCTAGGTAATCACTTGAAATATTCAATCTTTAATTAGTTTAGTACTTAACTGACAGATATGGGATAGGTACTACAATATATAAATGAACAAAAATTTGTAAGCAATGTTAAAAAAAGATTTCATCATGCAGGAAACCTACTTACATATCTACCTATTTTACCACAATTGGTATGCTATGGACAAGACGTCATGAATTTGAATTCACAATCATTTATTTTTTTTTTTTGGTAAAAATATTGTACAAAAAAAATCATTATTTCAGCTGCCTCATATAAACACTGACAATTTTTTTATAAAATATTCAATAACAATTATGATACTTAATAACATAAATAACATTAACAGTTTTTAAATTTGATTCGAAAGTATTTAAACACATTTTGAGATATTCACATAAAATGCCTTTTACTTTTTTCAAGTACCTACTGTATCTTATTCATAAAAATATTTGCTCAATCATCATTTATAGTAAATAAATGATTCCGCTACCTGCCTATCTTTATTTGACTTAATGTTTATTACTTTAGGTGGAGAAAGATTAACATTATAGGTTTACTTAATCCTCTGAGTAAATAGAATGAAATCCAAAATATACTTACACACATTACACTTTAATCCTGCCGCTTTTGGTATTTTGTTTAGTTTTACTAAAGGAGTATTTCCGATAGCGGCAAGAATATCTGGCAATATTTTTGAAGTTCGTTTCCTAAAAAAATAATGTGCTAACAACTGAATTTAAATTCAATCATAGTTTCAATTGTTTTTTTTTATTTAGAAAAAATGTATCCATCTCAAAATCTTTCAAAAAACAAAATTTAGTGATGTGGAATATTTAAATGTTCAGTTCATAAAACAAATATGTATTTAAAGGATACACGTTTATCAAAGTTAATAGGTATTACATAGACACAATAATGTGTTTTTAGGGTATCTACTTTAAAAAATACCTAAAACTTTTAAAGCTAACCACCTCATACAAAGCTACATAAAAGATACTCATAACCAAATAAATTTAAATATTTAAATTTTTTCTGCCACATCTCCCAGAATCTTACACAAGGCAGAGAGTTATCCGGAACTGAGAGACGCCGAAAGTAGGATTTTAAAACAATTTTAATTACAAAAATACATACCATTCGTGAGTACTATGTGGCGTTGTCTCCTTATTACAGTTTCTTGTCCATGTACACTTTGATTTTTTATCTGGTAAACCAAAACTATCGTTCAACGGCGACCAAAATGTCAGGTTAGTTTTTAGGCGTTTTGAATTTTCAACATCATTTTTCTTGCAAGCAACCTCACTCATTTTAGTAAATGTAAAAAGTATAATAAGAGATTAATGTTAGAGAACAAGTTTACACACTTTTTCCAGACCGCAACTTCTCCACTCCAATAAATTTTAAATCAAATAAAACGCGTACACAAACCGCTAGGGAATGGGTTGGTGTTGCTATGCTATTCGCAATTCGTGTGAAATGCCGAAGTGAAGTGTGAAGTGCGAGTGTGAGTGAAAAGAAAAGTAGAACGAGAAACGGAAACGCGTACGGTAGCGGTAAAATGTTTAAAACATACACTACAAAATACTGAAAATACCTAAAACAGCGGTACGAAATCGTATGAAATAGTGAGAAAATAGAGTAGGGTATTTTACTATTTTATAGTACAAGTTGGTAGAAATTATAAACAAAGGAAAATATTATCAAATATGTATTAATTTTACAGTTGGCCCGAGTTAAATCAGCATCAGCTGCTCAGCTAGCTCATTTTACAAAAATGCAGAAAAGCTTTGTGGCTCCTTTGATCACGGGTTTTCAAATTTCGTTTTTTTACAGTACTGCTCAGTAAGAATTTTGGGGCCAGCGTAATTTCGGGCAATACTTACAAAGAGAATTTGGTATTCACAATATATTGTATAATATAATAATCAATGAAGCATAAACATTCAACACGGGCGGATTATAATATAATTCTCATTTTATTTACAGCTCATACGTTAAAAATAAGAATTAATAATTTGTTATTTGTTATCAGCGATAGCATGGAACATTATGTTTTGTGTATGGTACCTCTGAATTTGTTTTTACGTTTTCTTATTTGATGTATTTTTGACCATTTTACCGTTTTTTTTAACAATGTAATCTTTAATTGCCTCTGAAAAAAATATATATAACAGTTTATTAATAACTCATTTGATTAGTATGTTACAAAAACTTCTATGTAGGTACGTCAAATAAATTAGGTGAATTAGGTTAATTTAAGCAGCATTATTGGTATTTACGTAGGTACTGTTTACATATTAATATTAATTTTATTTCTATTTTAGATGAGAAATTTGCAATAAAATTGGAAATAGAATGCGAGCCTTAAATAGCGAAGTTTGTGTCTATTGGAAGTTGGAGAAAAAACTCGATCAAAATAGATCTGCAAGTAATGAAAAATCTTCATAACTTAAAACTACGCGAACTAGATAATAAATACAGCTAAGTAAATAGGTTTACATATTTAAATAAAATTTATTATAGAAAATATATAAGACAATAAAACAATCAGCATAAATTAACCAATCGTTATCCTACACAGGATGTAATCAGTCTTCCTCTAAAATACAATTTTCAACCATTTTCTTTAAATTTGGATTTTCCATAGCAGCGGCTATCCGTTCCTTGTCATTAATTTGTTTATTAACTGCAAAAAGAAATATAATTACAGTCACAGGGTGTCTTGGAAAATTCAGGACCTGATAGATTAAAAAATTAAGACAATTTTATCCCATGGTCCATGAGCCTGCCCTCTTTTGTTTTTAATACAGGTCACCAATGATTTTTTTTTCGAGGTCAGGTTCTTTACAGTATCGGCAAAGTTCTAAATTCATTGATAGAAAATCAAATCGAGTCATATATCCCCTAATACATATACAAGGTGGTCAGAAACGAAGAGGCTGCTATAAGAACAGCTTTTTTGGATGAAAATATACCAATTCAGATTAAGTCTCCGAAAAGAATGTTTTATTCTATTTTTACTAATATCAACTTTTTTAAGGAAGCAAGCTAATAAATTTTCATACGAGAAAACTACCCTTCAAGTATGGCACACCATTTTACAGACACCCTGTATATTAAGGAGTAAAAGTTAATTGACGTAGGGGCAATCAATTGCGTTCCTTTTTTAAATGAAGCATTTTTAACAAGATCACCTTTTTTATGTACAACAAAATTTTACATGACACTAGAAAAAAACCTAACCTCAAAAGTCATAAAATGTTACTGTTACTAGCGACCTCTAGCAGATTTCCAAAAACTAATAACACTCATATTTAACACTTCCAAAAACTTAACCTTTATATAGCCAAAATTTGGGTTTCAAATAATACATTTGACGTCCTGTACCTATCTCAAAAACAAAAAACTATTTTTTCCAAAACACCCTGTACATCACATATTGTGTTTTGGAAAAACTTAATTTGAAATTAAATATTTAAAGACGTACTTTCATGTTCAGTCGTATGTGCTCCATCTTTAATAAATATATCTAATTTGATGGGACATGGCATATTACGTTCCAATTTTATCCGAATACATAAACCTATCAATGTAGCTAAGGAACAGTGAGGTACAGTGGGGTTGAACTCCACCCTCACTACATTAATTTTTCCAGAAGTGGGTTGCCTAACCTAAAAATAATTAATTTTCAACTAAAACAGATAATTATGGAAATATATGGACATTAAAGTACTTGTATTCCCTCCTCATACACTACATTAAGTTCTTCCAGTGTATTGGGTTTCTCTGGATCTTTTATAGTTCTTATAAAATCTAAAATATTTAATATCATCAATGAAAACATAACATAAAAATAAAAATTTTACCATAAACAGTATCTTTTAATTCTGTACTATCCTTGAAAACATCACTTACGCCATTTGTTTTCACCGGGCTGTCTCTATCTGAAAATTTTTTACGAAAAAATGATAACATTTTGCAAAACTCAATACGTAATAACAATGTATAAGAATCAGCTGATAGGCTAACCTTCAAACATAACTGGTAGTAATTAAGCTGACTCCTTATCATTTTAATGCCATAATCGCAGGTGAGCAAAAGGTAACAAAACACTATCGACTATTTCCGTTCACCGATAAAGAATTTATTTTTCTCTTTTCTGTTCGAAGTTCGCACTTGGCATCGAACACTTTCTCTCCCTTTTACTTGTTAAGACTGAAAGAGTACCTTATCAATCAAGTGACTCGACCCGCATTAATCATTATCACAAAAATACTCGAGAGGATAGATAGATGATTTGCATCTTAATTTTGTCACTCTAAAACAAATTCAAACTAGGATTTTTATAACTAAATAAAATTTAGAAAAAAATAACCGTGCTTCAAATTAAATTCATGTCATTTATATTTAGAAAAATATTTTGAGGCAAACGGTAACAATCGGTTAAAAATATTTGTTCAATCTAATTTGTTGAAATTGTCTACTTTTAGGGGAAATTAGGCCGTTCGCGGACAGGGAGCAACCATATGAGTAAATAATTTATTTAGTTACTCATATGGGAGCAACCAGATCGACGTCGACAGATCTTAGAAGAGACAGTTAAAAAAAAGGCAAGTTAAAGTTAAACCACAGCAAACTTTATATGCTGTGGTTAAACTATTATAATAGCTCAATAAATTGCTCTCTGGATCTTGACGGACTTTGACCAGTGACTATAACAATTCTTGTTATAGTCACTGCTTTGACTTATCCGAAGTGTCCGAAGCGTAACTTATAAAATCAATTTTAGAGGTAGGGACTTTATCCTAAGGTTTGTAAAAAATCTTGACTAACCAATGTTTCATCAGTCCATCAGCCATTTTGAGCATAGAAAATAATCTTGTGTCTTGAGTCACTCAATTATGTGCAGGGCCCGAGAACTTATACTTGAAAATATGGGGAAACTGGGAACCACGTGGCTTGAGATGGATATACAAGTTGGGGAAAGAGTCTATAGATGTCGCCACAAAGATTTTGTAGAATAAATTTTGACAATTGCAATTATGAATCATTTCATGTCATTCATGTTGTTATTGTTGTTCATGTTTATTGTTGGTTAGGTTTGGCGAGTGTTGGTGTGTGTTTTATTTGTGTTTTTAGTGTGTTTTATTAGATATTTCATTCACATTTATTTGTAAAACATAATAATGTCTGATCATCATATAATCACATTTTTTTATTAATAATAAAATGTTTTGTTTTTTTTTTAATAAAAAATGTGATCAGAGGTAGGTAGTTTTTTTTATGGATATCAACACAACGAAAGAATTAATCAAAGATTGGTTTAGTAAAATTATTTACTTGTAATATTTTTTTATTCACCGTGAAAGCTAATACAATATAGAAAGCACTGAAGCTCTATAATCATTTCCACTCTTTTTTTTCAAAATATGTACTGAAATTTGAAATTTTTTCAACAAACATTTTAAAAAGTTACAGTATCAAAATTATTTCTTATTTTAAGTAGGAAGACTATTAGAGCATTTAAAAGTGTCTTTAATGCTTGAGTGATTTTAATGCTTTTTATCAAATGTACTTATTTTGTCATGGTGACAAAAATTATCTACGTGAAAATTATTTTACAAAATCAATTTCTGAGTGATCTGTGTAGGGTGAGATTTGTTATGTAATTTTAAATTTAGCGGCGGCATAATACCTAAAACAAATATTGGATAGGTATATAGTTGTAGAGCGTACAACTAGATGGCGCCTGCATCTTTTACCGGCTACAGGTAATTTAACTCACTGTATTACCGATAATTCCTAGAAAAGGAAAGCACTAGAAGTTGGAGAAAGTGTCAACAGTTAGCGCTGTTAGTGACCACGAAATCTGTTCAAGTTTCCTATCTATAGTATCATTTATCTAGGATTATGTGACTATGTCCAATGTTATGCATTAAGCGCCATCTATTGTTTCCAATTGTTGTACTTCACAAACATATTCGTACTTATTCTAAATAGTAATAGATGACAGTGATGACACTAACTTAAGTAAACTGGGTAGTTTTAATGTCGCTAGAGCTAGACCGAAATGAACTACTTATACAGTAATACAGTGACTTTTTAGGTATTGTAGAGGGAGATTCACTATATTTTGATCCCCCAATTAACTTTTTTGTTTTTAGAGATAAAAAAATGTGAAATACAAAAGTTGAACGATTTTTTATGATGTTTGCAAAAATTATAGTAGAAAAAACAAATAAAGTCCAAACAAAATGGCCGTGAATGTTAACTTTGTTAATTTAAATAGAACACTGTGTATATTTTTTACATACGTATTTGGATAGAACGATGGTCTATGGACAGAACATTCCCTGTCGAGCATACTCATACAGGGTTTGCTGGGTCCATCTCTAACAATAAGCGAGATATTATTAAAAAACGAAAACGTTTTTCATTAAGAAACTAAGACAGTTAATAATTGTTAGACCTCTTTCGGACATTTCTCCCTGTTTTCCAATTACGTAAGGATTTACAGATTTAGTTGTAATATACCTATTTTGACATATAGGGACTAAATCTCACTAATTAGGCCGTGAGAGGCCTAATTACTCATGGGCAATGTTGTATGGTAGGCCATGAGAGTGACAGAAGAATACTGTCATTACAACATTGTTGTTGATTGAGTTTGTATTTATTTAATTATAAAATGGGTTACACAGAAGTATAAATTTGAAATATTAGGAATTAAAGTTGAGTATGAAGAACTTTAGGTGCTGTGTTTTAATTCCTATATGTCAATTTTCTACTTCTGTGTAAACTATTTATATGTATACAAACTGTCAATCAATAACATTGTCATGAAATTACTACCTGTCACCGTCACGGCCTACCATATAACATTGTACATGAGTATTTATGCCTCACATGGCCTAATTAGTGAGATTTAGTTAAAATCTATACTCATTTTGGACAATATCAATGTCCGATATGTCAAAATATATTACAACTAAATCTGTAAATCCGTACATAATTGGAAAAAAGGCATAAATGCCTGAAAGAGGTCTAACAATTACATGTTTTATTTTCTTAATAAATAAACTTTCTTTCCTTTTTTTAGGGGCAATATCTCACTTATTGTTAGAGACGGACTCACAAAACCCTATATGACTACGCTCGACAAGAACATTCTATCCAAACATGTAAAAATATACAGGGTGTTCCATTTCATTTAAATTAACATCTGTTGCCATTTTGTTTGGACTTCATTTGTTTTCCTGCTATCACGTAGATATCAAGTGTGTTTTGATTAAAACAACGGGTACGTAAATATATATAGTTTAATATTTAAACTTTGCTACCAAAATAATCAAAATTAATTTAACCGTTATTAACTACATTTTAAACAGTAATTATTATATATACATGATATAAAAGCGAACCAAAGCCAACAGTTGCGGCAGCTATAGATTTATTCTAATGGAAGTCATGAACTTATTTGAGAGTTCAAAAATTAAAAAAGGCATTTTTAACATATTTATATCCCCTTGGAGTTTCAAAATAGTTCGTGACTACCTCAGATTAGCCCTAATTCATTACAAGTTGTTTTAGTTTTTAGATTTTTATTTCTTATATTTAAAATATTCAAGGTGCTGAAATTTATGCTGTAACTGTGGTGACTATTCCATTTTCTTACGAGGCCCAGGCTTCCAATTCCTTCATGTCATCGTCATCGTCCACTTTTTCTGAAATAAAAAATAACGTAATATCGAAAAACCGTTACAAAATCCTGCTTTCTACAGAATTACAAAAAAAAATTTAAATTCAAACACTGAACGTAACTAATGTACATTTCAAATTTAGGTACTAGTCTATCACTTGTTTAGAAAAAACAAACAAAAACAAAACAAAATCTCCCACTTCGACCTAGTTTAGGTAAACTACATAATGTCCATCCACCTGATGTGATATAACAACAGTGCACTAGGCCGGCAAAAATCTGAATATGTCACCGCTTCATTTTATTACATTTATTATAGATTTAGTTTATATCGCGACTTTCTGCATAAAGCATTAGTTTTTACTGGAGTCGAATTAGAATATGTGTAGCGCAGTGTTGTTTTATTAAGTTTAATTTTATAATAAAATTTCTTTGTGTAAGAGTTTAAGATATTGATTTCAATGTTTAGTTATAATCTGGTATGTTTGTGTCCTCATCGTAAAGTTTCTGTGTGAGGTGAGAGGGAGATAAAAAAAATGAGATTTGACAACAATGCATGGTGAAATGCATGCAAGGGCGCTAGGCGGGGGACCTAAGTTTCCGAAAAAAGATCAATAATCAGTTATAAAATGGAAAAGCTTTGAATGATTAAAATTAAATTTGATATGTTAAAATATATTGGTAAAAGACTTTTCTTGATCCTGATGCAATTAACTTGCACAAATGCCTTAAATTGGATACCTTATTTAAAAAAATAATCATATCAATTTTGTGTAATCTGATTATCACAAATTTTTTCTGGTGAAACCTAAAAAATTTTTAATAAATTCTGATAATTAATACCGTTTACTCACAAAAAATTCAACGTCCGTCACTTGCAGCCCAGCAAATAAATTTGTGCCTTATGAATTAGAGTTACGAGTACCGATTATGGGATATGACAGAATTTGATAAAATAATTTTATTCAGTTTATTAAAAATCAACAAAAATAAAATAAATAAATAAATGTCTACTAATGTGATAACAAGATATTGGAAATTTTATAACAAAAATTAAAGTAAAATACGTAAATAATATCATAGGTATTAATTTTTCAATAAAACCTCCATTTTGAACAATGCATGTGTTTAGTCCTCTTAAAAAATAACTGATACTCGTATTGATTATTTCTAATCCATAAGGCGCAAATTTATTTGCCGAGCTGCACGTGGCGGATGATTGTTGAATTTTTGCGACTAAACGGTATGAGTTAATGACATTTTAGAAGAGACAGAATTTATTTAGAAAAGTTTTAGCTTTACCTGAAAAAAATTGTGACAATCAGAAAATACACAAAAAAAATGAACGAGGTTTATCTTATATGGAATTGACAAATATTCATAAAAAAATTAATATAAGCTTATTAATTTGAAGAAAATCTTCAAAAAAAATTATGACTAGTTTGGATACCTAAGAGAGAAGATATTAATAAAATAATTTTTCTCGATTTGGTACAGTCTTATGAGAATGCAGATTTTTTTGGTCTTTCCACTTAAGCCTGTATCAGACAATGCAATTTTGTTGCAGGGATTTGGTTGCCGCGATAGAATCCATGAAATTTTTCTTATCAGACCATGCAATTTTGTCCCGGCAACTGAATTGCATGAATTAGAACATGCTCTATTCCGTGCAACAAAATTGCAGGGATTCTAGTTACTTTTATGAAGATTTGTTTATTGCGAACCTAGCTGTTATTGGCTGTTGATCATGGTTGTTGTTAGTAACACTGTTGAAGCCACTATTAAAGCTATACAGCAATTTACTTTTAAATTTTCATCCATTGCAATGTTTTGCTTGAATAAAAAATAATTGTTTACAAGATGCATACAAGAAATTTTACATGTTAAACAATGCATAGTTGGTAACTCTACTGGAAACTAAACAAATTGCAGCAATTTTGTCCCATTGTGTGATAATAAACATGCAATTTTATCCTCGCAACAAAATCCCGGCAATTTTGTCGCTGCAACTAAATTGCATTGTCCGATACAGGCTTTAGAATGCGCAACAATTAATGAACAGTTTCCACAGCAACTTGTATAAATAGGAAACCAATATCTAAGGAACCGTATGACAGCTCGGTGAAATCGATTAGGTACTTGTCAGATACATAATTTATAATAATTCTCCTTCAAACTGCCGTCATTGACTAACTTAACCTCTATTACCCGTGATAGCGGTACTCGACGTAGCGTATTATTTGAAATTCGCAGGTGTGACATTAGAGCCCATTTCTTTTATTCATGATTTCAGAATCATAACGCGTTATGATTCCGAAATCACGAATAAAAGAAAAGGGCTATGAGCCTAGGCATTCAAACAAACAGAATTATAGAACGCGAGCGAGCGAACGCCGAGCCGAGCGCGCCAGCCAAGTGCAATGTTGCCAAATCTAAAGGCTTATTACTTTAGTCAGCGAATCTACAGAAACTCTCATTCGACTTTAGACGTACCCGATAAACATCCTTAACTGAGGTATCCAGGCATTTGTGCAAGTGGGTAATTAACATTAATTGCATCCGAAAAAGCCCTTTAGCAATATATTTTCACACACCAAGTTTCATTTTAATTGTTCAACGCTTTTCCGTTTTATAACTGATTATTATTTTTTCGAAAGCTTTGGTGCCCCCTAGCGCCCTTACAGTGCATTTTTGCACATAGGTAAATTAGCATAAATCGTCGTAATTTGACGTTAAGACACACTGCAATTCAGGACACTCTGTATAATCATGTAATGAAAATATTACAAATGTCTTAGAGGTTGTTAATTAATAATTATTACAGTTTGGCGTGCAAAATAAACGTTTTAAATGGGTGTTTGCTGCCGCTTTCATTCGTGACACCATTTACTGTGATCGAGAATCAAGAAGAATGACAGAGATAGGAGGGCCCGACAGTATAAGAATACTAAGTAACAAGAATCTAGAGACAGCCAGTGTTCCTTTTTCTTTGGGGCTCCCCATATACGTGTTTTTTTAGAATAAGTTCTGTCTCGTATTCATCGAAATTGTAGACTAGACATCAGACAGATGAGAAACAGCTTCCGATCTTGGTCGCACTTAATGATGTCACAATGCATTGTTGATCAAGTAACAAAATTTTAATTTTTAACTTTTTTTAAGAAAACTCTTGGCATTATGAAAATTTTTACAGGATCTAAAGTGGACATAACATATTTCTGCCAATAGCCAAAGTTTTTTCCAAATATGTCCATAAATAAATGTAGAAATTATATGTACTTATACATTCTAATCTCCGTAAATAGCCTTAAAGAATGTACATTTTTAGACGTAAGCTAAATAATGCACATACATTTTTACATAATTAATTTTTTCCATTACTACCACAATAATTTCACCTAAACATTCTATGTAATTATAAATGCATGACGAGTGATGATTCGTTAAAACATTTCTTCAAATGGAACAAGTAACTCACGATGCAATACGTAATTATACTGAATATACTCACTAGCCGTTGGCTTGACTGGTTTGGCGATAGCTCCTGTTGGCACGGCTGGCAGTTCTGTAGGGCCAGGCACTTTAAGCAAATCTTCTTCCAGACCTTCCTGTTCCAGCTCTTCCAACTCCTTTTCCAGTTCTTCTTCATCTAAATCGTCAGCAAATCCTACAGGGTTGCTTATTGCATTTGAAATTTCGTTAGCTAAGTCGTGCTGTTCAGCAATATCATCCATGATATCGTGAACGTTATCCACATCCCTAAAATATACATCAGTGAACACCATCATCTCCCATCATTTAAATAATGTTTATCTTAATCTAATCTTACTTTCTGGTCATAATTTTTATAGTTAAACAGATAAGAGTTTTAACTTTGATTTAATATGGAGGTTATAGACAATTTCGTATTCAAAATTTTTATAAAATAACATTGATTTTGATAACTTTAGAACTACATACAAGTCTTTGTGAGCTGTTTTCAGTGCTTCTGCAGCATTTTTCATAGAGTTTAATACGGCCGTATTTGTGTTAGCTCCTTCTAGAGCTTCTCTTTGCATCTCGATCGTCGTAAGCGTTCCATCTATTTGTTGCAAATTTTTTTCTAGCCTTTTCTTCTTTTTAAGGGCTTGAAGCGCAACTAAAACCACATGATTGGTATACCAAAGACTCGATTTGTTTTATGTCACAAACTCGACAAATTGTGATAGGGAAACAATTTTTAGCCTGTATTACTTACCCCTTTTGTTTTTAGAGGCATTTTTCTTAGCTAGTAACATGTACTCATCTATCTTCTTTTCCAGAAAATCTTGCTTTTTCAGCAACATATCTTCTGTTTCCCTAAGCTTCTGTATAGCTTCTCCAGTGGTGGGCCCCTCATCCTCTTTTTTGCCACCAAAAAGTTTTCCGAAAAAACTCATTTTTTTTTGTTATTAGTACAATTCACTAGAACACTACGCTATTGCTATTAGTCACCAAAAAAAATAATGAGTTTTCCAATGACAACAAATTTGACAGCGGTTCTTAACCGAGCCCTGCAGATGTCAGGATTTNATATTTGTGCGCCGCTGAAAAAAAAAAAAAAGCTCACGCACTTCAAAACCTAACCACTTTTTCGTTTTATTCTAAAAAAAGGTTACGCAATCAGTGACTATTTGCAGTATGCACTAACATTTTGGGGTGCAACCGTAGGGTAATAATCACTCGAGTGGTGGGAGTAAACATCTCGAGATATCTCGAGTGATCTCAATAATCGAGTACCACTCGATTTTTCACTCGAAATCTCCCATCACCAGTTTACGGTATTCTTAAAACCGATATGCAAAAACTCCCTATTATATATTTTATGTCTCTAATCTAGGAAAAAACCTGCAATAGCCGTAGCCAAGGTATGAGAAATTTAACAATATTGATTACATCAGGAATCAGAAAAAAGGAATGTTGACGTTGTTTTATTATCTAATACACAATTGATTACCGAAAAATACAATAAAAAGTATCTACACTATTTTTTCTTTATTTTTCTTATGCAAATTTATAATACAAATAAAAAATGCAATAAATTCAGGAAACACACTCCTTATTGATGAAGCTATCAAATTCTGCCAAAACTTCCTGCATATCTTTATATTCAGAATATTTGCACGCTTCCTCGATATTCAACCATTTGTAGTCTTGATGTTCATCTGATAATTTAACTTTGGCATTCGGATTTATTAATTCAGCCAACCAATATATCACAATCTTTGGAACACCACTAACTTCATAATTCAAAACTTTTTTGCAATTTTCATATATTTTGATATCACCCTTTAAGAGTCCTGATTCCTCTTGAGTTTCACGGAGAGCCGTTATCATTTCTGTTTCTCCTGGATCCACATGTCCTTAAAATTCCCATTTAGCAATTCAAAATTGTCTCCTATAATACAGTGCGTAGATACACTACTTACCTTTTGGTGGTGTCCAGTGATGTATACCGTAAGACGTTTGTAATAATAGATATTCTATTTTTCCGCAAATTCTACGGAATATAACAAAGCCTGCGGCAGTTTTCCTAGGCATTGTATACAATAAAAACCATTTGTCAATTATAGCTGATACTTTTATACAAATCAATATTGTTGTGCAAGGTATTCATTTTAAGGTTATGTATTGCATGTAAATAAAACATATATTTTTTATAATACAAAATGCATTGTATATTATCTAGACTGCTAAGAAAAAAAAAACAATAAATAATTATTCTACAATTTATTGTAGTGTTGCCAAAATAGAATTAGTTATTTATATTATCTACTAAACATCCAGGAATGTTATCTCCCAACTCAAAATTTAATTGACGTGAGTAATACTAATCTGTTGTTAGAACTCAGATAATACCTCATATAATAGATAAAATAATAGAAACACTAATTTTCATGAAATATTTAAAGGTAATTTTTTATTTTGTTATAAGTACAATATCTTCTCTGCTTTCTCATGCACACACTTCTTTCGATTTATCAATGGTCCCTTTTTTAAACCATGCTTAAGAAAAATGGTTGTCTTTTCTTTAAAGTGCTTTAGTTACACGTAAACCATTCTAACTTTCAGTCTATCAATCCAAACCCCTTATGAAGTGCTTTTGCTTCAGCAACAGATATAGGTTTCAACATAAAACCTTCTAATCGAGGTTCATGTTCAAGATCCCGGAGCTTATAAACCATTTCCTTTATCTTTTTGTGCAAATTATCAAGATCCTCTTCTGCTTTGGCAATCTCTAAAATATAAACAGTTTTTTTAAGATCAAAAACAGTTACTGTTGTACTAACCACTTCTTAAAATATTTTTACATTCGGATGAAGGCCTTTCGATATAAACAGTTCCCATTTGGATCCACGTTCTTCTCTCTTCAGTACTTTCTATAGCTCGTAATGCCTCTCTGAACTTATTTTGGGCATTTGCTATCTGCATTTTGGTTTCTTTGGCAGTTAAAATTTCTTGGGCAAGGGTTTCAACTTCATGTAGGTATTTATATGATTTTTGTGTTTGTAAATCTTGTAAAGCTGCCATATTCGGCTACCGATATAATATACTAGAATTATTTTGGAGTAATCCAATTAGTAAAATTTGATCATTTTAAAGATAATGGAAACATCTAGTCATAAAGTTGATTTTATTGTGAACGAACAGTCGTAACACATGTACAGTTTCTGAAACGTGAAAAAAAATACCAACTAGAGTAGATTTAATTCCACTTTGCTTCGAGTTCTCTGTATATGCGCTTTTCTTAATACTTCATAAAAAAAATTAAACTGAGTTGTCACGCAGTCCAGAGACACTGGTAGCAACACAAAACATTATAGAGTGACTGACAGGTGACAGGACTGACAGATTAGGTTAGGTTTTTTTAAACAAGACGTGGGGTGAGGTTTAGGGATTTTCGTTTGATATAACCAACTACCAACCGTAAATTGTTGGTTGCCTGTGCTCGACGGTCACATGTTTTGTAAATACTAAAGAGATCCAGAATGATTTAAGCGTTTGGGGAACGCAGCCTGCATCTAACACCATTTTTAGCATATAAAAATCTGTAGTATTGACAGAGACAGGCATAGGCTGCGATCTCCTAACTCATCCTAACACTTCAATCATCCTGGATCTCTCGGTATAAAGGCTCTTAAAATAATTGCGGAGCAATTCGCTACAGGAATCAGTTCCTAGCGGGCAGCCGACCAGAGCACACGTGTTTTGTGAAAGTGTAGTGCAAGGAGCAAATTCTACCTGCCTTTATTAAGGCTACCTGGAAAGAATCCCTTTCTTTCCTTTTAATCACCGACCTAATCCCCGTTCCTAGCGGGCAGCCGACCAGAGCACACGTGTTTTGTGAAAGTGTAGTGCAAGGAGCAAATTCTACCTGCCTTTATTAAGGCTACCTGGAAAGAATCCCTTTCTTTCCTTTTAATCACCGACCTAATCCCCGGCTTAAGCATAGACGCCGTCGGCATCTTTGTTACAGCACCTGTGCCGGGGTTATGCCCAGGTAAGTTTTTACTTATTTATCAGTTATTTTCATTACTTTAGAATACATTTCTTTAAAATTGCGACCNTCTAGGTCTTTTGTGTTTGTCGGTCACGTCGGGTACGTAGTCAACGGCTTGCCTGAGGAGGGGATTGTCATGTCTAGCGGCTACGTCAAATCGTTTCTCCGCGTTTTGTCTTATTGTCTGTGTAGCGTTTGTGTATTGTAAGTCTCGTAGTATGTCAGTGTTTCTTACGTACCAGGGCGCGTCGGTGGCCGTGCGGAGGGCTATGTTTTCCACAGCCTGTAATGACTTTAAGGATCCAGAATGATTTAAGCGTTTGGGGAACGCAGCCTGCATCTAACACCATCTTTAGCATATAAAAATCTGTAGTATTGACAGAGACAGGCATAGGCTGCGATCTCCTAACTCATCCTAACACTTCAATCATCCTGGATCTCTCGGTATAAAGGCTCTTAAAATAATTGCGGAGCAATTTGCTACAGGAATGGGTTATACGCAGTTTTTTTTTTTAACCGGAACAGTTGGCACCATTAATTTTATAAGCTATGCTATTAAACGCTGCTCTGGCTTCCGGCCTACCATTTGTGATCACTATTCACTACTATCACTAGTGATGTTTTACATATTCTACAAATTATTTTACTCAATGGTTTAGTCATCGTATGTCATAAGCTGCTTCCCTTTTGCAGACAACTGAGTACATATTACACGTGAGGTGAGTGTACTCACATCAGTTGTTTCAGTTGTGATTCATCTTGTAAAAGGAACGATCATATGAGTTAAATGTAAATTAACCATATATAAACTTAAATGCGAAATATTATTATTGAAAAGACGTTATAAATCATAATACTTACCTATTATTTGCAACTTTTAGCTTTTAAAAACAAACCTAACCGTGCCTAACCACACTTTAAATAACTGAGCACAAAATGAGCCAAGTGAACAAGCTCTCAAACTAATGCAGATAGCAGTAAGTGGGGGTAAAAATTCTCGGTTCAAACTCACTTCGGAAAATTAAAAGAAACGCACATTTAACTGAGTCATGACGTCACATGTGATATTAACACGGATTTCTTAAATTAATTTAAGAAATCCGTGGATATTAATGTGATTTTTCTTGCAAAAGGGAAGCAGCTCTTGATTCTTGAGAAAGTTCTATGTTCTATGATTTTCATTCTATATTTTATGCTGACTGACAGTTTTATAAAGCATGAATGGTAACGTGGTTCCAGGTGTTCAAAATTTAAATATAAATAAGGACGAAAAGGCATGCATATAATTTTATTAATATATCGTTAATATGTTAAAAATTTTAAGTTCTAATAGAACTATAGTGCCGGCGTTTCGACATTCCTATGCAACGTTGGTTTGTAATTTAGTATTATTTACCTGTGTTTACCTGGAATTGCATATGATGCAATACCGTAGAATAGTGTTTTTTCCTTTTTTTTGTTTTTTATTGGAATTTGTAAAAATATAAAATACTCTTTTTTATACAGGCCAAAATGAAAAAGAACAAACAAATTGCAGCCGAGGGTGATAAATCCAGTGCAAAGGAACTGCGTCCACCCCCTTCTTATATCGAAGAAAGATTAGCTTTGTGGAATAAATTGAAAGCTCAATATGACGCAGAACTATCAAGCAAACCCGAAAAATCCATTAAAGTAACTTTACCTGATGGTAAGGTTGTGGAAGCAGTTGCCTGGAAAACCACTGCTTACGATATTGCTAGAGGAATAAGGTAGAGTAGATGATGTAATATCTTTCCTTAGTTGCAATTATGAGACAATTAATTTATAGTTATGAGTGATTTATTTTTGAAACCCAGTTAACTGAACATCGTGATGAATTTGAATTTTATTGTAGTCAAGGGTTGGCCGATAATGCAGTAATCTCAAAAGTAAATGGCACGTTGTGGGATTTGGATAGACCATTAGAAAGTGACTGTAATCTCGAATTGCTTAAATTCGATGATCCGGAAGCGCAAGCCGTGTTTTGGCATTCGTCGGCACACATTCTTGGCGAGGCAATGGAGAGAATATATGGTGGATGTCTTTGTTACGGCCCTCCCATCGAATCCGGATTTTATTATGATATGTTTTTTGATGACAAGGGGGTAACAAAATTTGCTTTACTTTCAAGAAATTTTGTATTAACGCAACGTTTGTAGGTTTCCCAAACCGATTTTCCTGTCGTCGAAGGTTTAATGAAAAATATTGTGAAGGAAAAACAACCGTTTGAGAGGCTCGAAATAAAAAAAGAAGATTTGTTGGAGATGTTCAAGTACAACCCTTTTAAAGTTCGGATCCTTAACGAAAAGGTCGACACTCCCACCACCACCGCATACAGGTGTGGCCCCCTGATTGATCTTTGTAGGGGTCCGCACGTCCGACACACCGGAAAAGTTAAAGCTCTTAAAGTTACCAAGGTAATAATCTCCTTATTGTGAATTTGTCGTTAGTACGTGGTTATTTCTTTTATTATCAGAGTTCGAGCACTTATTGGGAAGGAAAGGCTGATGCCGAGACCCTGCAAAGGATTTACGGGATAAGCTTCCCCGACACGAAGCAGTTGAAGGAGTGGCAACAGTTCCAGGAAGAGGCCGCAAAACGTGACCACCGCAAGATCGGCAAGGTAAACGTAAAATAATCTATACTGGTTGTTAATTTTTAAAATTAATCGTTTTAGGAGCAGGAACTGTTCTTCTTCCACGAACTTTCGCCCGGCTCCTGCTTTTTCCAGCCTAGAGGCACCCATATTTACAACACCCTCATTAATTTTATCAAGAAAGAGTACAGGAAACGGGGCTTCCAAGAAGTCGTCTCGCCGAATATCTACAATGCGAAATTGTGGCAGACTTCCGGCCACTGGGCTCACTACGCTGTAAGTACGTTCTATTTTATCCTAATCTGAAGTTACCTTTGGATCGTTTCAGGACAACATGTTCTCGTTTGACGTAGAAAAGGACAAGTTTGCTTTGAAGCCGATGAATTGCCCCGGTCATTGGTAATTATTTTTCGACCGAAATAGAACTCTGAACGTTAAACAACGATATTTTCTAGCTTAATCTTCGACAATCGCATACGTTCGTGGAGGGAGCTGCCGCTTAGGCTTGCGGATTTCGGGGTGCTGCACAGGAACGAGCTGTCGGGCGCCCTTACGGGTCTCACCAGGGTCAGGAGGTTCCAGCAGGACGACGCCCACATATTCTGCGCCCCCGAACAGATAAGGCAGGAAATCAGCAGTTGTTTGGATTTCCTCAAGCACGTGTACTCGATCTTCGGGTTTACTTTCAACTTGGTGCTGTCTACCAGGCCGGAGAAGTATTTGGGCGACATCGAGATATGGAATGACGCGGAAAAGGTGAGTTATTCGTGCGATTTTGTTTATGAAGTTTGTAAAAAAAGGTGAATTTTTCTGAAAAATTAAAAATCAATTCATGAATTTTTTTTTGATCATTCACCCTTTAATTTTTTTAATCAATTTTTTTTATATATTTTTCAATTCATTGTTATTGGCTTCTTCAATACAGGGTGTTTATTAAGTACTTTAAAGGGTGCATCTTTGACTAAAAAAAAGAAAATTGTTACCTGGACTTTTATAAATGGAAATGGTAAAGGGGCTTATAGTAAACGAAAAAAAAAAAAGATAAATGTGTGAGCAGGGGTGGTGGAGGGTTGATTTGGGGGGTTGAAAAGTTGTGAAAAATTGTATCATTGGGATTCTGGCGAAAGTTGACGTCAAACAAAGAACTATCCAATACAAAAGTTGTAGATCATGCAAAAATCTAGAACTTTTGTAGAGGTCACTTTTTAAAATAGCCTCAAAATTTCTGAGAAAAATGCGATTGTTCTTTTTTATTTCTCATTTCCGCAAAAATAATTTAATTTTGACGAAACTTGGTATATCTATCTATGTCTTAAATAACCACAAATTTTTTTAGATAAAGAAATCGAGAAGTTTCCGAGATATTCATTTTTTTCGGTCTGAAACACTTTTTTTCAACTTAGAAAAATCATCGTATAGAGTTTTGCCAGTGATAATTTTTTTCGTTTTGACATATTTTTTGGTGAAATAAAAGAATCTGTAATTACAGTTCAAAAACATGCTCAAAAATGCAAAAAATAAAATAAAAAATGACGCAACAATGAATTTTTCAGTAATTGTTGATAATTTTTTTCCATAGGATTTTTTTTTTAATTTTGATGAATTCAGTTGTGTTTTTTTATACCTAACAATATGCCGTTTAGAAGGTATTAAAATTCCCGATAAAAAACAAATTTTAAAATAAATTGCATTTACAATGCCACTTTTTTCACTCCATCCAATGGCGTCAACATTTTTGCAATCCGACGTTTCGTCTTCGAGGGGCCATTGTTGTAATAAAAAGGTATTTAGCTTGTTAGCAGCGACATATTTAAAAAAATTAACCTGATGGTGGCCCCTCGAAAACGAAACGTCGGATTGCAAAAATGTTGACGTCATTGGATAGAGCGGAAAAAGTGTCAATGTAAATATGCAATTTATTTTAAAATTTGGTTTCAAATAAAGCCAGAAAAAATAAAACGATTTTGCAAAATTTCGGGTTTTTGGGTTTGTGCATTTGTAATTCGACTTAGATGTTTATAGAAATAGTGTAGAAAAATAAAATTTTGGGTCAAACAATGAGACACAGTTTTTTTTGTATTTTTTTCCGTAGAATTGAATGGTGTAATCCGTTTTTAATTTTTTTTTTAATTTAAACAAATTATCAATAATTACTGAAAAATTTGTTGTTGAAAGTCATTTTTATTTTCTTGCATTTTTGAGCATGTTTTTGAACTGTGATTACAGATTTTTTTATTTCACCAAAAAGTATATGTCAAAACGAAAAAAATTATCAATGACAATTTTTCTAAGTAGAATTTTTCTTTGAAAAAAAAGTGTTTCAGACAAGAAAAAATAAATATCTGGGAAACTTCTTGATTTTTTTATCTAAAAAAAATTGTGGTTGCTTAACCCTTTCACTGCTCCAGACGTATATATTCGCTAAAAATTTATAGGGCTCAAACTGCTCCAGACGGATAAATTCGCATGAATAGTTAAATTGGATCAGGCTGCTCAAACCGTATATATTCGCAACCGTGCGCATAGTGACTCGGTTATTGCAATTGGTAAGGCGAATTTTTGCGGGCGAGCTTATACCGATTGTGACAAATATTTTTATGGAAAGAGGTACTGGTAATAGTACCAAGATTGTTCATGTTTCTTTCAGTTTCTATTTAGTACATATACTGTATTTTATTCAAAATAAAATCGTAAAATTTATCGTAAATCGTAATTTAACACAACATAATGTAAAACTATAAGTGGTCTAACTGCTCCAGACATATATATTCGCACGCGATAAACAATCGCGCACGGCGCGGTAGCTACGTTCAGACGTATTGCGCAGCGAAAGGGTTAAGACACAGAAAGGTATACTTTCACCAAGTTTCGTCAAAATTAAATTATTTTTGAAATGAGAAATAAAAAACTAAAAATCAGAAAAAAACCTGTTTTTCGTATTTTTCTTGGAAATTTTGAGGTTATCTTAAAAAGTGACCTCTACAAAAGTTGTAGATTTTTGCATGATCTACAACTTTTGTATTGGATACTTTTTTGTAATTTTTCACTTTTCAACCCCCCAAATCAACCCTCCGCCACCCTGCTTACTCATTTATTTTTTTAGGTTTATTAGCCCTTTTACCATTTCCACTTACAAAAGCTCAGGTAACATTTTTTTTTCTGCAAGTGTAATTTGGTTGGACTATTTTGTAAAAAAAGGGTTTAAAGTTAAACTTGCATTGGAATTTTGTAAATTGAACCATTAAGAGTTTTTGAAAAACAAGTAAAAATTGATTATTGATTGTATTGCGATGTGACAAACTTAGATCATTTACAAGATTAAGACTAAACTACATCTATAAATAAGTTAATAACATTTACAATAATTGCTGAAACAAACATTTTTTTGGTCGCTCTGTATCTCAAGAACCAAGTCGTTGCGGACTCATGTTCATATGAACTTTTTATCTTAAATTAGTCAAATATTCACCTTTTAAAGTTTGTATAAGTACTTAATAAATACCCTGTATAATAGAAGGTCAAAGCTGAATGGGGAGATATGTCATAATATATATTTGTAAAGTCAGTTGATATTGCCATCTAGTATACAAAAACCTTTATATTCTGTTATAAAAAGAACTCGACTGTAGCGAGCAGTACAGTCCGTCAACATTTGTGTTTGTTTTAACAATTATTATGTGTACATCTATTCAAAACCTAGTCTTATGCTCTCAATATTGATTGTATTCAAAATATTAATATGTCAACGAACATTTTGGAGTCCAAATGGCATTCTGATGAACTCATAAGGTTCATTGTCAGTTGAGGATGTAAAATATCAACTCCATCTTAATTTGACCGAAACGTAATTTATGTTGGGTATAGTAAATTTATCTGGTATCGTTTTTTAATTGAATTTTCTGTAATCTATCACAATTCTAAATTTTCATTTTCTGCTATCATTCGTTTTATTGGAAATGATCCACATGGGAGATGAGCACGCAATTTGTTTGTTTTTAACTTTTTTGTGAATTAAGTAAATTTGAATTAATGTCTTTAAAAGCTGGTTTATTATAAATAAAACACGGGATCTTATGAATCAATGAGTATACAAACCTTAAAATCAATTTTTCTCGAAAATAGCATTTCATGACAAACCTCCTTTGTTCCCTGCGGTCTTTAATTGTAGATGGACAAGTAATTTAATAAATGATTCAAGCTATTTTGTTTTAAAACTAACAATTCTTTTTCTTTGACAAATTAACATGTACAGTTTTTTTTAAACGTCCCTAACTTTTAAATATTTTCTTATTGATGTCAGGAGCAAGGTCAATCTGTTGATATCAGTTATTGCCACTGTTACAGATATAACATAAAATTTTATATTAGTGATTCAAAATTCTCGGAAATTTATTTTTATAAATAGGGACAGGAAAAAATATATAAGACTACAGCCAATACAATTAAATTGGTGACAAATTATTAATATCTTAACAAGTTAGCTCTTATGTACCCTTTAATTTTTATTTTTAACGACTTTTTATATTGTTTAATTTATTATCTAAAATTTTCTTTAAAAATCGTTATTGTTTAATCACAAATTAAATTAATTGATTAAAATCACGGATTTCAATGAAATGATTTAAATAATCTCAACACAGATTGTAATCCCTTCTAAGAAAATATATTTGTAGGCCCTCGCGGGAAGTTTGGACGCTTTCGGCGAGCCATGGAAACTCAACCCTGGTGACGGTGCTTTTTACGGTCCTAAAATAGACATAACTATCCAAGATGCGTTGAAAAGATTCCATCAATGCGCTACGATTCAGTTAGATTTCCAGTTACCCATTAGATTTAATTTGTCTTACGTCAGGTACGTTCTAATCTACAATCGCCGTAAAAATTCATTTCAAAACGTTCGCATTTTCTTTATAGCGAGAGCGGAGACAAGAAACGTCCGGTTATAATCCACAGAGCAGTTCTTGGGTCGGTGGAGAGAATGATCGCTATCCTCACCGAATCGTACGCCGGAAAATGGCCGTTCTGGTTATCTCCCAGGCAGGTTATGATAATTCCCGTCGGACCCAGCTACGATGATTACGCTGAGAGCGTGAAGCAGAAACTCTTCGACGCCGGTTTTATGGCGGAAGTCGATACGGACGCTGGCGACACCATGAACAAAAAGATTCGGAACGCCCAGTTAGCCCAGTTCAATTTCATCTTAGGTATGTCGATTGAGCGGAAACTATGCAAATTTGGACATTGTCGTTAATATTTTTTTTGTTTCAGTTGTTGGAGACAAGGAACGGAGTGCTAATACCGTAAATGTACGTACTAGAGATAACGTGATACACGGGGAAGTTTCCGTAGATACCCTGATAGAAAAATTCAGACATTTTCAGGACGATTATGTTAAAAATGAGGACAAATTTTGAACGGTTTCGGACACATTAAAAAGCTTAAGTATTGATTTTTTAATTTATTATATTTAATGATATTTAATATCAAGATGCATTTATGTGCTTAGGAAATAAATCCACAAACTTCACTTTGTTTTATTTTCTATGCAAGGCATTTGTAATTAATTTAAGTAGTTGAATAAATTTTTTTTATAGGGAGGGCCAACCTTTTTTCTTCTTTTTATATATACACATCTGTTAGTAAAATTTATTTATTTTTTAATAGGACAGTATAAAAAATTATTACTTATATACACACATGCACTTAAAATTATACATTTTAAACAGCTACAAAAACTGTTAATTAAAAATAAACTTACATATTCTTTTCAAGAATAAGATAAACAGTTTTCTTTATTTTATTTTATTTTTTATTTAATAACTTAAAATTCCTAATAGAATACACACATTTTAAAAATTATTTAAAGACTACGACCTACTTCTTATATACAGGCACATGAGCAACACACCAATGGCACAAACGCCTAAAATCGAAAAATTTCGTGCGTAGTCGACGGACGTTTGTAAAACGACACCCTGAAATTAAATAGCATTAGTACCGAATAGAGGGTGTATTTAAATGAAGGAGCATAATTCGCATCAGATAATGCTGGGGTCTACTCATATGCCAGTTACCAGGGTGCTTAAGAAATCGAAAAAAAAACAATTTTGTCGAAACTGATGAACTAAATTTTTTATTTAAATTGCCATGGTTTTTCTCTCGTTATTATGCCGTGGTCGCCACTGACTTACATTGCTTCCCTTGTTCTCGGGCTAGGCTCTGTAGGAGCGGACCTGCTACCAGAACCTCTAGACCAAGGGTCGGCAACTGGCGGACCGCGGTCCAGGTCCGGACCGCGGAAGGTAGAATACTGGACCGCCAAAAATTTTTTGAAAGTATAAATTACTCAAATAAATTATTTAAAAAATGTTTTTTACGTTTAAGTGTCAATCTTATCATTTTTTCTAGTATTTTACAATTGTGTGAGTGTTTTGACTTCTTAATTAGTAAGCAGATTAAATTTGAGTCCAAATTAAAATAAAAAAATAAGATATGAATTTTTTTTCTGGACCTCGTTCAAAATTTTCAAAAGTATCCGGACCCCACCTAAAATTACTTGCCGACCCCTGCTCTAGACCAAGGGTCGGCAACTGGCGGACCACGGTCCGGATCCGGACCGCGGAAGGTAAAATAATGGACTCGCAACAATTTTTTGAAAGTATAAATTACTCAATTATATTATTTAAATAGTTTTCTATTGATAATAATACGTTTGAGTGCCAACTTATTTCTACTACAATTGTGTGGTTGATTTGAATTCTTAATGGTTAGTAGGTAGATTAAATTTATGAGTGCATATTAAAATAAAAAATTAGTAAGGTTTTTTTTTTGTGGACTCTGTTAAAAATTTTCAAAAGTATCCGGACCGCACCTAAAATTACTTGCCGACCCCTGCTCTAGACCCATCTTGATGTTGATTTCATTAATTGTCGTTTGTTATAAGTAGGCCAGGAATTATAGAGTTGGATGTGACTTTTTGTTTCGGCGAGCTGAATTTATCACTATAGATGCTAAATATTATGTACAATAACATATTAGTTTCCACAGTCATAAAAATGGGGGCAAGATTGTTTACAATTGTATAATTTTTACGTAAATTCACATTTTTCACTTATAACTTTTTTCCGTTCATTTCCACGAGAAAACAGTAAAGTACATTTTTTTCGTCTTCAAAAAACCTACAAAACTAGCCTTCGAGCGTCTAAATATTGATTAGATCAAAAGTTATAAACAGAAGAAGTATGACTTTTGAATTAAACATTTATAAATTGCGTTATTATTACCAGGACGTTTTGGCATCACATCCTCTCATTCCTTATCGCTGTCTAATAACTCACACAAAATCTGAAATCGGTAAGTTGAATAGTTTACAAGTTATGGCCTTATAAACAAATTAACTAATTATTAGTCTGGAGGATCCAGAGCATCTTCCACAATCGCACTGATTTTTTTCATGGTAAATTTCACAACAATACATTGAAATCTATCATTTTTTTTTTAATTTCAAATTTGCAACCTGGAAATTTTTTATCTTTTTTAGCCTTAACTGCAAAATGAAATATACAAAGCACGTGCGTGATATAGTTATATATTATTACATATTCGGAAAGCTTATGAAAAGAACTTTTAAGTTAAAAAAAAAATCGTCAAGATTCGTTGAAAAACAACGGAGTTACAGACTGTCAAAGTTGGCGGCCTATTAAACAAATTAGGTTTGACGATTTTTTTTTTAACTTAGAGCTCTTTCATAAGCTTTCTGAATATATAATTTAATACTTAGTTAATTTGTTTATAAGGCCATAATTTGTAAACTATTCAACTTACTGATTCCAGATTTCGTGTGTTATTAGACAGTGATAAGGAATGAGAGGATGCGATGTCAAAGCATTTTGGTAATAATAACGCAGTTTATAAATGTTTAATTCAAAAGTCATAAATAAACTTCTACTGTTTATAACTTTTGATCTAATCAATATTTTTTGACGCTCGAGGGCTAGTTTTGTAGGTCTTTTGTTTGAAGACGAAAAAAAAAAGTATTTTACTGTTCTCTTGTGGAAATGAATGGAAAAAAATTATAAGCGAAAAACGTGAATTTACGTAAAAATTATACAATTAACCACCCTGTAAACAATCTTCCCCCCGTTTTTATGACTGGAAACTAATATGTTATTGTACATAATATTTAGCATCTGTAGTGATAAATTGAGCTTGCCGAAACAAAAAGTCGCGAAATGGTCATTTCCCAGCTCTTTTTCCTGGCCTATAGGGCCGTTACGGACAGAATATATCCTCGGACAATGGTGGTCCTCTGAGACGTTCCATAATGGCCTCTATAACTGGTCTTCTATTATGTGAAGTTTGTTTCAATTTTTTTTTCATCACATGTTCTGTATGTATGATTCCTTAAAAAATGATACGTGTCCCACGCTTCATTATCAAAATATAACCACTTAATTTTCACCAGCCGTCACGGAATTATTTTATTTAATAATTTAATTTTCTTAAAGGAAGGTGATCTTTTTTAGTAAATTCAATGTATTCAACATGTTATTGTCATTTTGGTCGTAATGGCATAATATTTTTTTTATTTCAAAAAGATTCAGTTATGATAATAGCACGTCATCGTAGCTGAAATTTTATGTGATAATAGAGGGAAGAAAAGACTAAAATATTTTATTTAATTTCAAATTAAAAACCTAGTAACTGGCAAATGAAGCAATAATTTCGTAGCTCCTTCATTAAAACACCATGTATATTATTTATTTACAGCATAATAAAAAATACACATAAAACAGACCACAGAAATGAGACAACCACCAAATCCAAAGCCAAAACCTGTGGGGAAGGGGACTACACTTGAAAAAACGCGGACAAACATTCATTATCCATCGACATTGCCACCTGGACCAGATTATGAAGTCTGGCCAAGAAAATAAAAAGCCTAGATTTTATTTTTTACGTATTCGTTACATGAAAATTACATAAATATTTGTCTTCGCATTCTTTAAAAGCCGGTTTATAATCAGTTTACATTTCGGTTGCTTTGGAAATGTATCTACACGAACGTGTATCAATAATCGTTCCTTACCCAACCACCTTCTTGTTCCACCCATACGGATAATCGCCTGGTAATGTAACTTGTCGTCCAGTTGTAGATTCTGATGAAGTAATCGACAAATTTTTCCTGCAACGCCCTTATAGACAAATCTGTACAGAAATAAAACAGTACCAGTACTCTTTCCCATGTTACTCCACCCTCCTTAAATGATACTTGGTAGGTATATAAATTTAAGGTGTATTTAAAAAAGAATAATTACCTGGAATAAACCATACATTAACTGCTGAAACGTGATGAAATTTAAACTGTCCAAGTCAACATTCTGAGCTTGTTCGTGCACCCATCGCCGCTGTGGGGAGAGAGCAAATCGATTAACCAATATTTGTAACGAACTAGCATTGTGGGGTATCACTAAGTACTGTCTATCTTCAAAGGGAAATCTTAATCCTGCACCAGCCATTTGGTCTGTTAAGTGATATAAATATAATCGGTTTGTTTCATCTATAACATTTTGACTCGCTACCAGTTGGTCGCTCTCTCGAAAAATATTGAATAATCTATCATATCTATTTATATTTTCAATATTTTCATTTGGATTATGTGTGGAAGTGCTTGGACGGCTGTGTTTCTTGTCTGTATCCTTTTCTTTATCCATTCAAGTATTTTTAATTATAAACGGTTGAATTAAAAAAGTATAATTTAAAAAACATTGGTCTGCAATGTTCTTTACTGTATTAGAAACATATTTATATACACTATCACTGTTTCTCATTTTTCACTCAATAGTTTTTTTTTCTTAAGTCTATTTTTATACATTTTTTTCGGCTTTTCGCGCCAGTTTTTTAATTGTATTCAACATTTTAATTGAAATAATGGGTATTTGAACTACTCTATATTGTATCTACTATTATTTTTCATCGCATCGAATTACGATAGTTCTTTAGAGGTCTTAGTCTTTTTGAGCCTAAGCAAAGAAGGGGCGAAAATGCCAAAAAGAAAGAAGAATAAGAAGTAAGGTTATGATTTATATCGAAAACACATTTTTTAATAAATTTTATACATTATTCTTGATATATTGATCTGTTCTCATCTATAGTATTGGCAAAATGGTAAGTATTTCCTAGCATCAGTTTTCAGATAATTGAAAGTCGTATTTATTTTAGCCCAAATCAAAAAAAATTGACAGGAAAAAAGCTGTCACCTTCCAACTGGTACATAGAAGTCAACAGGATCCCTTAGTAGCCGACGAGAAAGCTCCACAAAGAGTATTGGTACCAGTTGAAAACAAAGAATCAAAGAGAAGTCGTGAAGATCAGTTAGAAGAGCAACACAAATATGGCATATTTTACGATGACGACTTTAACTACCTGCAGCACCTTAAAGACGTTAAAGATCATAAAATGGAATGGCCTGAACACGCCGAAGAGGAATTGGCCAAGAGGCAGGAGCAAGCTAAAATTAAATTACCCTCGTCGGTGTTTGCGTCTGAAGTTGAGGAAGAAATCGGAATGTTGAACAAAGCTGCACCCGTGTCAGGTGGGCAAAACTTTATTTTTGTAAGCAGAATAGTATACATTATTTTTAGGGCCTCAGTTGCATCTTGATCCTGACGTTGTTGCTGCTATGGATGACGATTTCGACTATTCCGATCCCGAGAATCAACTGGAAGACAACTTTATAGAACTGGCCAATGGTATAGCTTCTGATCAAGAATTTGATGTAGACGAGGAAATCGAAGTGGATTCGAACTTCGACAATGAAGAAGCAGACGAAGTGGGTTCTTTATCAGGGTCCCAACAGTCTTTTAATGATGTGGAGACCAAATCTAGATTTACCAATTATTCCATGACGAGTTCCGTAATGAGGCGTAACGAACAACTCACTCTGTTGGATGAACGATTTGAAAAGGTAGGAATAGTTATTTTTAACCATGTATGCTAATGACAGGGTTAGTATGTAGGTTTTTGACCATTTGGTAGATTTTTTCGCTTTACTTTTTGTTTTTTGAAGCGAGTTGAAATTTCTAATGGTTTTTGTCACACGTCATTGGACTACTTTAATACAGGTGTTTGCACTACTAATTTACTTTAAATCGAAGGAAATATATCGCTTTTATGAGTAAAGTACATAAAATATTTTTTTTGTATATTTGCTTTACTAAACTTGTAGATGTATGCTGCTTACGAAGAAAACGAAATAGGTGCCTTAGATTGTGAAGAAATAGAAGGTTTTGTTCCTGAAAATTCCGATATTCTACTCCAGTACGCAGATGAATTTGAAAAGTCTCAAAAAAGGGAACAAATGGATAAAGACAATGTCACAAATAAAATCAAGGAACAGTTAGACAAAGAATCGGAGGAAGAAGATGACGAAGAGTTCGAAACAGTCCCTGTACCAGAAAAAGAACAATGGGATTGTGAAAGTATATTAAGCACCTATTCGAATCTCTACAACCATCCGAAACTGATCAGCGAACCCAAAGTAAGTTAAAAATTCTTTCTAATTTGTGCCAAAGTTTGTCATACTTTTTATAGAAAGGGAAAATCATAATCGACAAACAAACGGGAATCCCGAAAAACGTTCTGGACTCCAACAAACTGACCACCAAAGCTTTAAATGTGTTAAACGAACAGAACAATGTTAACACAAAAGGACCGTCCTCTATCGGAGGGCAGTCCGTCATCTCCCAACTATCAGTGTTGTCCATTAGACCTAAAGACGAGAGTCCTGATGAGAAGAAAGAGAGGAAAAAGAATTTGAAGGAATATAGGAGAGAAAGGAGGATAGAGAAGAAACTAAATAAGGAAGCTTTCACGGAAGAAGCTAAACGTCAAGTGAAAATGGCTATTAATAATAGAAATAATGTACAGGGAAATAAAATTTTGTAAGTAACTTTTGCGGAATTTTGTTTTAGTAAACGACAATTTGTTTTCGGTGATTCCTGACCTTTACAGCACAAATTATTTGAATCAAAGATATTTAAAATGTAATTATTACTTTTATCTGCTTTACCGGATAAAGATAAGGTAAACATGGAAAAATTTATAACGAACAGCATTAAAAAATAAATTTTTGTCGCGGTAATATTCCTGCTACCATTATAAATTAATTGGACAAATAATTATAAATAATTCAGTTAATTCCTGTCGTTTCTTTAAATACATAAAAAATTGTTTTGATCTACGTTTCATAGTAAATATTTTTTATCTAACACGATATATCATCAATCATCATTAAATTATTTATAAACTTTGTTTCGCCCGCAAATCAGCGTAATCCCTTAAATTTTGTATTTAATGCCGTGGAAAGTTAATTTAAAAACAACCATTTATAGGAAGTTTATAAATCAGTGACAGCTTGCTAAAATTAGAAATAATGAAGAATGGAACTTGTACAATTTTTTTAGGGGATGATTTATATGATCACATAGAGAATTTCGATGATAAGAAAATTTCTAACGAAATTTGTGAAAGCGTTGCATATACAGAGTGTTACAAATTAGTAGGTCAACCCGTTAACGACATATTCTTTGGACTAACATAATGGGATATTTCTTATGCCACTTTTCATTTCAGGGCCCCATTTTCACAATACAGGGTGGTAAAATTAAAATTAAAAAAATGACTTTTATTGATAACTCCGGTGATTGTAGGGATGTTTATTTGAAATTTAGCATGTATCCTCAGTCGGCACACTTTTTGAAATTTGAGTTTGAAATACCAAACGCAGTGGAGGGGGGTTGCAGGACCCATGAATCCCCTTTTTTTTTTTTTTGAGTAAGCCTATGATTTCTGGATATTTTTTCTTAAATAAATTGGTTTTATTCTATTTTTGTCACTCTTGTAAGATTTTTATTTGGATCCTCGTTTATGAGATATTGTAACTTTTTTGGATTTGTGACATCGATTTAATTGAAATTTCAAATATATCGCTACAATCAATAGAAATCTATTTTTAAATTTTAATTTTGACACTATTTTGAAAATGGGGCTATGGGGCTCCGAAAGGAAAAGTGGCATAAGAAAAGTCCCATTATTTTAGTCCAAAGAATATGTTGTTATAGTCTTTCTGAATCAGTTGAACATGTAAAAATTCACTTGCAATAAAATTTAATGAGTTTCATAGGCTTCCCTAAAAAAGTTTTCTGATAAAGGTAAAAAATTATAATAATTTGTATAATGTGCAGAAAATTTCTGTAATATGTTCATTTGGCCAACAACATATTTTAATTATTTATGTCCTCAAAGAATTTTATTATATGTGTAAATTTCGTTTTGTTCCGTTTCAAAAGGTCTCCAAAATGCCATGTAATAATGTTATTTCTCCCTTTTGCAATTTTTATATGAATGATTGATAGAAGCTGCCTATAATAAATTAAAATTACCTGAATCACACCAAATTCCGCATTGCTGCACTGCACTGCTGGGCAATTTGTCCACCACTTGTCAACGGCTGAGATTTATTGCCCAGTAGCCCAATGCAACTCTATTTGTATTTCGTTTGCCCGTGTATACATTTCTACCANCCCGTATATATATATATATTTTTTTTTTTTTGAGTAAGCCTATGATTTCTGGATATTTTTTCTTAAATAAATTGGTTTTATTCTATTTTTGTCACTCTTGTAAGATTTTTATTTGAGCCTCGTTTATGAGATATTGTAACTTTTTTGGATACGTGACATCGATTTAATTGAAATTTCAAATATATCTCTACAATCAATAAAAATCTATTTTTAAATTTTAAATTTGACACTGTATTTCGAAAATGGGGCTATGGGGCTCGGAAAGGAAAAGTGGCATAAGAAAAGTCCCATTATTTTAGTCCAAAAATATGTTGTTATAGTCTTTCTGAATCAGTTGAACATGTAAAAATTCACTTGCAATAAAATTTAATGAGTTTCATAGGCTTTCCTAAAAAAGTTTTCTGATAAAGGTAAAAAATTATAATAATTTGTATAATGTGCAGAAAATTTCTGTTATATGTTCATTTGGCCAACAACATATTTTAATTATTTATGTCCTCAAACAATTTTATTATATGTGTAAATTTCGTTTTGTTCCATTTCAAAAGGTCTCCAAAATGCCATGTAATAATGTTATTTCTCCCTTTCGCAATTTTTATATGAATGATTGATATAAGCTGCTTATAATAAATTAAAATTACCCGAATCACACCAAATTCCGCATTGCTGCACTGCACTGCTGGGCAATTTGTCCACCACTTGTCAACGGCTGAGATTTATTGCCCAGTAGCCCAATGCAACTCTATTTGTATTTCGTTTGCCCGTGTATACATTTCTACCACCTCCACGTTTAGTTCGACCAGACCTGTATATGGGTATGGCTAAATAAATATGGGAACAAGTTTTTCAAATATTTCAATGCCAAGTTGTTGCGTCAGCGATCGAACCGAACATACTGTCATCCTCTTGGTTCTTCAATTGATATCGGAAAGACTATAAATACTTGACCTATTAATTTGTAAGGCCCTGTATATTTGCAAAATATATTTTTTTTATAATCATTAAATCGAGTGTTTTATATTTTCTGGAAAAATTAAGTTTTCTTCATAGAGATAATCTTAAATTTTAATTTAATATTACATTTCATTTTCCAAACTTCATACTATAACTTCAAGAAAAATGAAAATTTTGCGGCAAATATCTATTTGTATCTATCAACTGATTATGAAAAAAAATATTTTGCAATTACACTTTATATCAACATTAACATAAGTACCACTAAAAATGGGGTACAATTTCAAAGTTGATTTTCTGGTGAACGATTTGAAGATTTTTTTTATTATAGATTCTTAAGTAAAGTCTGTAAATATAGAAATTTTTATCAAAATTTAAATATTTAGAATACTGGGAATAAGTATTTTTTTTTTTAATTTTCGAAAACCCAGTAAGTTGCATCAGCTACATTAGAGAACTAAAATGACAGTTTGTGAATTTGAGGCATTTATTTTTTATTTCTGCATGGCCTGCTTTGACTTTTATATTTAAACTTTTGGAATAAACTGATATGCTTACATTTAGCTGCGTATCTCAATTAATAACGGAGCTAATTATGCGAACCAAAAAACAAATTTTTCAGGAGAGATGTAATTATAATTCGATTCAAGTAGACATTCTCCATACTTCCTGCAAGACTTCAAATTTCGGAGGAAGAAACTTACAATCTTGTACACTGTATATTCTGGAAACTTAAATTTCGACAAAAATTTCTACTTAGGTACTACACAGAAGAATAAACCTATAATTAAAAAAAAATATTGTGAAAATTAGACTCACTGTTTGCGAGAAAATCAACTTGGTACTTGAGGCCCATTTTGGTGGTGCGTTAATTTTGATGCAAAGTGTATATGTGCACCCGTTCAAAGAGTTTGTCCTAAATTTTATTCTTACGTAAGTTCATTATGTGGGCCTCAAAATCATCCCCTAAAAAAACTGTACGAGTTCCACTATTCGTTATAAAGATACGACCTTTATAATTTTCACAAGCCATCGCTGACAAAGTCGCTTCAAATAATTACACATTATTTTGATATCTCTCTCTACCAAAAAGTTAAAATCTGTAAATATAACTTACAGAGGATTAATCATCCAATTATTTTTAACAACAGAGACTCCGATAAACATGACCTAATAATAATGGAAACATATTTATTTTGTCACTATAGAGCTATCTACACGGCTTTAAAAGAGTAACCTCGTGTAAGATCAGCCAAATGTAAACATGTTTATGTAACTACTCTTATCCCTCTTTTAGACTCGATGTTTTGTTGCTAAATTTCGGAGTAGCAAAGACAGATTTTTGTTTTCTCAGTACCAGTTTATAGAAAATAATGATCTCCTCGTGTCCGGCCAACAGGAAAATAAAATGTAAATATGTTTTTCTATTTTAGTTTCTGAATTCAGTCCATTAGACGCATTATTACCAAATTCAAAGTAAACGGAATTACTTTGCATACAAAGCTTGTTTACAAAGCAATTTTTATAATGATGTTAAATTTAATATAAACGCCTCTTAAAATGTTAAATTATGCAAGAACACGATTAGGGTCGTTTAAAAATGATGACAAATGATTGTGCTCCAACGGTAATGACTCACTTAAATGAAAGGTTTTTGTAGTACAAAAAATAATTCATTTTTTTAGAAATAAATAATGAGACTTCTATTTGTATACTTGTTAATGAAAAAATAAACTAAACATTCTGTCTAAAAAAAAAAAAGATATATATGTGTCTGCTTAGTTGATTTTTTAAATATATGTCTATACAGAGTGTTTCTGAAATAAGGAACTGATAGAACATCAAATAATAAGATTTTTTGCATTTACGACGCACCTGTAGTCTTTTGTTTTTGAGTTACAGATTGTCAAACACAATTTTTTTAGATCAAATATTAATCATATATTTTCTAAAGCCTGTATCAGACAATGCAATTTAGTTGCAGTGACAAAATTGCGGGAATAAAATTGCATGCTTATTATCATACAATGGGACAGAATAGCTGCAATTTGTTTAGTTTGCAATAGTGTTACTAACTGCATTGTTTAACATGTAAAATTTATTGCATGTATCTTGTAAACAATAATTTTTTATTCAAGCAATCGCAATGGTTGAAAATTTAAAAGTAAATTGCTCTGTAGCTTTAATAGTGTCTTCAACGGTGTTACTAACAACAACCATTATCAACAACAGCTAGGTTGGTAATAAACAAATCTTCATAAAAGTAACTAGAATCCCTGCAATTGTTGCACGGAATAGAGCATGTTCTAATTCATGCAATTCAGTTGCCGGGACAGAATTGCATGGTGTGATAAGATTTAGATCAAATTATAGTAGGTACTGTTCCCTAAAAAAATGTTTCTATTCCATTTTTGCTGATCCTAACAGCATTTTAAGGAAGGAAAATTGTATTAAGGTAACTTGATCTAAATCGGTTTATTTTCATCAAAGGGGGCCATCTTTAAAGTGCGCCTCATTGATTTCTGGACACTGTATATTACGAAGTTGAAGATGTTAGACTCGGGGACAGTCAGTTGCGTTTTTCTCAAAAACGCGCGATTTGAAAAAAAGTAGGTACCTTTTTTATGTTTTATTTATGAAATATAGCAATCAACTGCTATTTTGGGGTAAAAACCCTATTGCTAACCTCGAAATATAAGCTAAAATTTTACGTCAATGGCAGTTGATACTTTATCAGTAAAAAAATAGTCTTTGCGCTGTATCCCGCGCGGTCTGTATCTCAAAACAGAAGAAGATAGGATAAAAATAAATAAAATAGGGAAAAAATCGTCATTTTTTTATGTCGTATCGTATTAGCCCCTGGATTATGGTCTTCGTTCCAGTATGAGTGTGACAAGTGATAAAAATAGGTTCGTTCGTTAAAAGTAGAAGCTTAAAAACTATTTAAATTTGGATGTTCCTCGTGTAAGGTGAGAGTTGAAGGTCATAGCTTTCGGTATGGTCTACCAGGAAATATGTACGTATTTTTGGAGTTGTACACATGGAGTTAGCGGCAGTACCACAAAATTATTCTGGAACCATACGTATAGTCCTTCCAAAGTTCCGAAGTCAGTTGCAATATGCAAAAAAACGTCTGGTAATAAAATTAATTAGTTTCATAGGCGTCTCTAAACAAATTTTCTGCTAAAGGTAAAAAATTATAATAATTTGTATGTAATGTGTAGAAAATTTCTATTATGTGTACATTTGGCCAACAACATATTTTAATTATTTATGNGACTGAAACCACTTTTCCATATAAAATGTGCGGGGTCCTTTCGTTTTGTTCCGTTTCAAAAGGTCTCCAAAATGCCATGTTGTGATAATATTAGTAAACAAAATATCCCTCTTATTTATCCCTTTCGCTATTGTAATATGAATGATTGATAAGAAGGTGCCTATAATAAATTAAAATTGCCTGATTCACACCAAATTCCGCACTGCAGCACTACACTGCTGAGCAGTTTATGATCCTCTTGTCGCCTGCTGTGATTTATTGCCAGAAGCCCAATACAGTTGTGTTACATTTCGTTTGCCCGCGCTCGCATTCTTCAAATGGTCGTATACATTTCTTTCACCTGCACATTTAGTTCGACCAGACCTATATACAGGGTAGGAAAGTACCGATGGTCTATCTGAAGTCACGTGAGAGCGATAAAATAAGCCATAGAAATCCATGTGATAGACAAAGATGGGTATAGTGAAGGCGTCTAATAGTCACCGCCCATTTCACCCTTCCACAAATAAGAAGTGGATCTTATTACCCTGTATGGGTATGGCTAAATAAATATGGGAACAAGTTTTTCAAATATTTCAATGCCGAGTTGCTGCTTAGCGACCGAGCCTGGTACATACCTTCAAATTATAGGTTCATCAATTGACTTCGGAAAAACTTATACAACTGTAATTGTGTAATCCTATTTTCTTGCTCCATTTTCTAGACATGACGATTCTGTTGTTTTTAAATAAAGCAGGCATAAAATATTAACATACATAAATGTTTGCTTATTTTAAAATCCCTAGAAATGCGGTTTAAACGAAATTTGGCATCGGAATACAAAAATGTGGAAGTAATTTGTGGGTGAATTTTGTTAACCTTAAAAACTAGAGAAGTGACAAATTCTAATTTTGTGAAATTATAAAGAGCCCAGTGGCGTCTCATTAAGTTAAATATATAGGTATATTTTTTACTTTTATCATTATTTTTCGTATAAAATATAAGTAATAAGAATTCTTCACTAAATTATTATCAGTTTGACCTTACTTGGACTTCTATGTTTTCTATTTTATTTTTATTTGTTTGACCTGTCCAAAGTTTATCGAATTCCTAAACCTTGACACTGAAAAAAACTCATAAGCGCCTGACCTGATGCACATCTTCTGTCTCAGTGCTGTAAAATGTACTATAACCGAATTATTATATCGTTATCAGAAATTTGCTCGAAAAACACTTTATTATCATAACGGGTCAATTAACTCTTCAAACAATTTATTCGGAAAATACAATAAAATAGACAAATACGATAAGATGTACAATTATTTGTAAATTTAACACATATCATGTCGTGTAAACTCCAAAGGAAAAATACGAATGAAAACACATTTTTAGGAATCTGCTTTCGGAGGATCAGAAGAGATTGAAGTGTTTCGACATTTTTCAGTATTTAAAAAGTTTAATTGGAAATTAGAAAAACTGCAGTCAAAGGTCATAAGAGTCTTTATAGTGTATTTCCATTTGTGTTGATAGTTTGATAACCAGAAATAACAGTGAGATAAGACGAAGTCAAATATTTATTTTACTATCACTTACCTTTGTCTGTGGAGTTGATAAACGACGTTAGGGCATTAAAAATTCCGTTCTTTCACATTTTCTGGTTATTTGTTGGCCGCAAATGTTAAAAGAAGAAATTAAAAGCTCATGCCATTGTGCAAAATCTCCTCAACACATATTCTTTTCATGGACAACTTCAAGATAGAAAAAAAAAGCAGAGAAAAAAGATATTGATTGTTAGTTATTTTATAATTGAATGAATTTTCAGTCATTACACTACTAGACTAAAATACGATAATTATAATTCTATGCTAAGAAGGGATTATTAGAAAGGTTACATTTTCCTCATACGAAGTTCTACAAATATCCTAAAAATTATCAGTTAATTAGTCAGTTTTAACTGGAAATCATTTTATCAAAAGGTAAATGATACTCTGTCCTCTGTTATAAATAAAATGTGTGCACATATATTTCGTAAACAAATGTAGGTATTAAACACACATTTAATAATGTGATACCTTTTATAAGTTACCCAAATACTGATGCTATTTGATGCTAATTTGAAGTTTGACCTTATATACAGGGTGATTCAGGTTTAATCTGGATAACTTCAGCAGTCGACAGAACAGGTTAAAATAATGTTCATTCATGATATAAACTTTTTTCCTAAATCGCATCGTTTTGGACATAGAGGGCTTTGAAATAGAATTTTTTTCCGCTTTTTCCTCAACTTTTGAACTACTCATCCGATTTTTAAATCTGAACCACCTACCCCTCTTAGAAGTGTATTTTGTGTGCTCCTACATTATTTCAAAACTTCAAAAAAAATATTTAATTTCAATAAAACACCACATTTGTCTCATTGATTTTGAAACTTTTTCGTCTTGTTTTTTACCGATATTTAGCCTCGTTTCTGAGATATTCAATGAAATCCGTAAATTTCATTTAACGTTATAGCAACCCAAGAGAAACAAAACTCACAATGATTTATATAAACTGACGTTTGTGAAAATCATCGTTGAAAGTATTCTTATTTCAAAAGTATTTTTATTGCTAAGAAAAGGGAAACAAATTCTTACATCAACTATTTCGATGCGATTTAGGAAAAAAGTTTATATCATGAATGAACATTATTTTAACCTGTTCTATCGATTCCTGAAGTTATCCACCCTGTACAACGCAATAAATATGTCACGTATTTTTAAATAATCTAGTTTTGGCATTAAAAATCTCAAATGAAGATATTTTATCTATAACAAACGTGTGGGTCAAGTTTATTTTGACTTTATTGTGTGTAATACGTCGAATATTAATCTTGTTTTCTTTAATAAGTGCTCTTAGAAATCAATTTTTTTTTAGTTATCTACTAAACTAACTCTAAATAAAAACAAAGTTCAAGTATTGTAATAAAAAATTTAATTGTAAGCTTATTAACTATGTAAATATCCAGGTTTCTAATTATGATGCAAATTTTCTTATATTTTGAATTTTCCGAAACTGAGTTCATTGCATTCATTTCATATTACAAATTCAATATAATCACTGGTTTAAACAAACTAAAATTAAACTTCTATTCTGTAGTTATTTTATTAATTAATAATAATAATAATATTAATATTAATAATAATTAATTAAAATAAACTATCAACCAATCTTTTATTTCTTTGCTAAACCTTGCACATGACATAATATAATATAATCCCGATTGTGTACTAATAATAGCACATATAAATGAATGAC